CCAGCCAAAGCCAAGGAATGCAGACCACATAGTTCACTGATAGGGGCCTTAATAATAGAATAGGGCTTGGGGGTATATCATAATTATGGCACATGCGATAAGGAACCCCTACATAGATTCACTCGCAGCAGCCCAAGCATGTAAGCACCGCAGAGAAAAGTCAGAAACAACTATGAACATCAGCCATCAACATCTCATCATCATTTTGACTTGATACCTTGCCCCTGACACCTCAGGCGCCGGCATTCAGCTGAAGTGCCCTGCGTTGCCTCCACTTCACGAATACTTCTGAAATTATGTCGAGATTCTTGTTTGAAAGGGCGTTGCGCTGTTTGGACGCGCACCCCCCTTCACCCTAAAATCTGACAAACCGTCACCCTGTAACACCTGTAATCCCAAAGTTAGAGGCTCTCAGGTAACATGTTGGTTTATCCTTATACAAACCACAACTTTTGGTCTCATCATAGAAGAACGACTTTGCACTATGCTGGTGTGTAGGATCTATTGCGCACTAGGGTTTAGCCCACCCCAAGCTAGAATCCGCTGGAACCCTCAACTCAAACCCGAAACTGTACTGAACCCTAATACAAACCTTAAACCCCTAAAAGCTTAGGGGCCCTAAGGGTCCAAGTACCCAATAATCATATACTCTCCAGAATCCTAACCTGCATAACTACTATCCTAAAACCGAGTACCTAATTATTGGGTCCTTTGGACCCTTGGGGTTAGGGGCCCTAAAGTTGGGTCTCTGAGGCTACGAGCATCGGACTCACTTCCGCTGCGCGCGTTGCGACTTCGACCTCTGCTCCCGATGCTGGGAGGACCTTGGGGTTTAGGGTTTAGGGTTTAGGGTTAGTTTAGGGGCCCCCTTTGGGGTTTGGGGTTGCGCCGGGGCCCTTTGGAGTTTAGGGTTTAGGGTTGGGGCCCTTGGGGGTTTGGAGTTGGGGCCCTTTGGGGTTTGGGGTTGGGGCCCTTTGGGGTTTGGAGTTGGGGCCCTTTGGGGTTTAGGGTTTAGGGGCCCTTCGCGGTTTAGGGTTTCGGGGCCCTTTGGGGTTTGGGTTGGGGCTTGAGCTCTAGTAAACCCATGAAGCCCCTCCGCTCAAACTCACAATGTAGATACCTGGTTCAGAAACCTCGGGTCTTTAATCGGGGTTCTTTATCTGAATCCTTGTACTTTGGAGTCATGGGACCAGGGCTTCTCAATCAGGTTCCTACATACTCGGGCCTTTATAGTTTTGTTTGTGGAGGGCTGTTGGGCTCGATGTCTGGAAGGGTAGGGTGATGGCACAGGGAGCGTGGTGGTGTTTTGCTGTTGAGGGTTCTTCAAGGATTCAGTGGTGTTGGAGGTCAAGTCTCGTGTCAGGCGGCTTAGGGATTTCTCCTTTATTTTGGGTCGGGGCTTCAGGGTTAGGACTGAATATAGCTAGAGGTTCCGTATCATAGCTTTACTTGCGTGTATACAACACAACCCGACTGTAATTATTGGTTAAGGCCCCGAATTGATTACATCAGGTGCCTTCGTCACTAGGGTCCAGACGCCTCACGACCTCACTGCCAAGTTGCCCAACCCTACTCGGCTAGATGCTGCCACCGCCAACAGCGCTTCAGTCATGCCCACAAATTAACATCAAGCTCCCGCGCAACGGCAGTGCTTTTCGGAGCTTTTGTGTGTTCGGCTCGGGTGCCATTTCTTTGTGTCTCTTAGATGTTTATGAGGGTTGCATATCTTGCCCTTGCTGTGTCAGCTCTTGGTTAGGACTTGTTGCTTTGCAGAGGGCTTTGGACCCTAGTTTTTTTGTAGGATGTTTTGACAGCCTGCTTCTCTGCATTTTGGGTGCTTCAGCAGTAAAATCTTTCCACACCTTGAAAGCAGCGACACAAAAACCGCAAGCCCTAACCTAAACCACAGCTAGTGTCATTGATTCACCATCAGTTTTTCTTGAGGAGAGACGACGTGATGAGATGAAAACAGGCGCATTTGCGGTTGCTTGGGGATGAGGAGTAGTGAGTAGTGTAGGGCTGGGATGGCAAAGGTACACACCCTAAGCCAGGGTGAGGGCGTGGGGCCAAGAGTTTGGGTTGTACAGTAAGCCTTAGCAACTTAAAAAGCTTTGAACGAAGGTTTCGGTTTTAAGGTCCACGGTGTTGTTTCAGGGCTTTGGGGGGATGTAGTCCAGGTTCAGACAGGTCCCGAGTTTCCAGATGAGGCAGTGGGCATTCGGGGGTATCAGTCAAGACCCCAGAGAACCTCCACAGGGTTCTTCTACTCTAGAGAGTCCGGGTTTTGCGTTTGTTCAATTGGTCAAGCTATTTTGTTTTATTCGTATTCTTCTTATCATTATGGATCTTCATTTTGTGTATGAAATGGAGGTAGTTGGGCTCCAGGTATTAACGATCAGTTAGCGGTTAGGGTGTAGGCGTTTGGGTGTAGAACTTTGCGGTACAACCCAGGAAGGAACAGAAGCGGCAACCGACCACACACCTGTTCACTTCCAGTTCGACCCAAGTGGTCTCGAAGGCCAAGTCGGAGCGCTAGCCAGAGCTTGCGCGTACGTCCTGCAACAGGAACAGTATCCCTAAGGGTCCATGTACCCAAGTAGTATATACTTTGGGCCCAAAGTAATTACTAATATACGGACTACTTTCAGGCCAATGTATATACTATTATATGAGTACATGGACCCTTAGGGTATAAGGCGAGTGGGGCCTGGAGGCCATCGTCAGATGGTCCCAGCACGTTTTTCGCGTGGCGGGAGACCGTTCGCTTTTGGACGTGGCTTACATCCAGCTCCTTGGGAGATGGGGCAGCTCGTCTGTACTCAGGTACGTTCAAGAAGGTGCAGTGCTGCTCCCTGAAAAATCCTCCGACGCCGTCAGCCTTCACGTCAGCCAGCCTAGCCCTGTACCCTTGCGTAGCGCAAGACCCTCGCTTGGTAGACAGGCCCCCGAGGTAGGCCGTGAGTCTTGGGTCACTTTGTGTGGCAAGTGGTGGTACGGCACAAGCTCTACCCGTAGAAACCCCACGATGCCAGAACACGAAAATTTTGTTCAGGGTTCAGAGGTTTTGGTCTTGATGAGTAGCCCTCCAGGATGTAAAGTGGGGACCTGCGTCTGTGAACCGATGTATATGAACATGTGTAATTGGAAGTCCCCGGCCCGGCCACATATCGATGGCAGACTTGTCATGAGACTGGAAGAAGTGGTTTGACGTTTATTCATGGCAATATCGTCGAGGGTGAATAGATCAGGGTTTGGGTAAGGTTAACGGCAAACCTTCAACTAAACCCTCAAACTCTAACCTGTACACGGTCCCTAGACGTTTGTACTTTGAGCTATATAAGGGCCTTGGCTCCTTTGTCGTACTCTAGATTTTAAGTGATTCGGATCCTTTTGAAACTGACCTCACTTGTCAGTGCGCCCTAGGGGTTGCCCTGGCCATCATCGGCCGCCATCGGAGCAGCAGCAAGACTGCCGTTGCCCTAAGCGACTCGGCAAGCAGTTGGCAGTTCCCTAACACTCCGAGTAGCCCAAACTAGGTACAGGTGGTCTTCGGGTTGGGAGTCTACGGCGGTATACTCCCAAGATCGAACTCGATAATCATCAATGCCCACCGCTTATCGGCTAGATTTCTTCTCCGGTGGAAGAGCAGCCATATTCGTGCGCACGACTTGGTTTCTTAAAGCACCCGTCTGAAGTTTACAGCCACTGAGCAGTGCACCTCCCGAATTTACAGGTCGAACAGGGCTTCGGGAAAAAAGCCTACAGCTTCCGAAAGCCCCAAGACTCCAAGCCTCTGAAGTCCCACTCTCTTCAACTCTTGGATTTGGATTGGGTATTGCCCCACTCAGTAACAGTTGGATAATATTCATAACATAGATATATTAGGACCTTAATAGTAGCCCTATTATGCACTGTTACTGTATGGGAGCAGTACCCAGGATTTGGACACCCAGGCCGGAGCACTCCCAGGCCAAAGCCCTGATAGAGACCTTAATACCCATGAGGGTAGTTGTCAAAATTAGGGTCCCTTTTTTGGTACCCTAAATATTAAGTGTCATAATATATAAAGGACCCAAAAAGGTACCCTAATCTGCACAAATACTTGTGAGACCCTTAAGAAGAAGCCCGACAGCCCCGCCTTCCCTGAACCCCTGATGCTGATCTCGAACAAATCGAACCCCTTGGGTCCACCCTGAACCAAAAGAGTCGGTTCAAGCTGCCCGAACCAAAAACGAAGCCGAAATACCGCCCGAGGGGACATGGTTGTGGCACAGCCGTTGGCCGGTCGTGCGCAGGACGCGATTTGAGAGTTCAAGTTTTCCGGGGTTAAGGGGCCTACAGCCCAGGTGAGGGTACGAAGAAGGCTATGTGGCGCTGATCGCGGTAATCCTCCTTTAGTAGGCTTTGTTCAAAGCCCTATGAAGTTATCACCGAGTCTTCGAATCCTCCAACTCGAAGCCCGATCCCAAACTGGAACGGCGCATTTGGGTAGAGTCTACCTAGTCTGTAGAACTCTCTATGACTTGGACTATAAGCGGATGCTGGTGCTGCTTTCTCAGTCCCTACATACTATACCCGAAAGATAAATGCATGCCCGATGCCTCTATGTAGGTGACACCCATGAAGCCTGAAGCACTGGAACCCTAAATAACTTACCTTTTTGGAATGGTTTCCTCCGTGTGCCAGAGGTGCAGCCGACACCTTGTGCACGACAGTCGATCAAGCTTCAATCAGAATTGATGCAAGCATTGTTGCACTCAACATGTTCTTCTTGGATGAGTTGAAGTTGCCGGACTGGCCCCATTGATCCACATCAGCACAATGTTGATGACGTTCCTGTTCCGGGCATTCCATGGAGTCAATGCTACGGTTGAAATCGACGGCTACAGGGGGCGAAAGGTAAGACCCTTGTAGAACCCGTATAGAGTCCTCAGCCTTCCAGACAAATGCAGAGCCCTTCTAAAAACAGAACACGCCCCTCGAGCCCTAAGCCTCTTGCCATGGATCCAAGCGGAGAACGGCATTCACCTCTCTTCTGCCGAGTTGGTGACACTCGGACCGTTAAGGTTCGCAGAGCCATTCTCAATGTCAAGAAGAAAGCATTCGGGGACGGACGTCAGGTCGAGGCTGATGATGATGCGGAGGAGGACACGAAACTCGTCATTCATGACCTCGAGTGCCTCAACGAAATCGAGGCCCTCCTGGAGCCGTGATTTGCTGGCCTTCCGCGAGAGCCCTCACTGCCGGGCTTACGTCGTCGGGTTTTGATACGAGGCACAAAACATCGTAGCATCGGGCTTGTGGTGGCGACGCGGAAGGTCCGAGTGGTCTATCGGGCCTGGACTCAAGGTATGAGAAAAGCAGGTACCCTTGCTGAGTTTCCTGCTCTGGCCTGCTCTCAGTCGCAGGCGCCAGACTTGAATATCTATATGTATATGTATTTGTTTCAAGTATATTTCTATATATACATATGCTCGACAGACCATGCCGTTGTGACATGGCAGGTGTAGTGATCTGCAGCTGTTGACTCCCAGGGTCCTATTCGTCACTCGTTGTTTCAAGGTATAAGTAGGTGCCCCTCTTCCCTAAACCTTAACCCCAAAATAAGAGGCTTTCATGAGACCCTTACCCCTTACAGAGCCCGAAATCCTTGTGTTACCCTATGTAGGTCGCTTCTGTGGCTCCCCATGAACCACCCAGTATAAAGGGAACCCTACCACAGTCTAGGAACCCCGAATCCTTAAACCCCTAAACCCCTAGACCCCTAAACCCTAAACCACTAAACCCCTAAACCCCTCATTAAATTAAACCCCAATCCCTAAGCCCCTATGTAAGCCCTCCTCGACGCTCGCGCTCTCTCGCGCGCGAGGAGCTGCGCGGGGACCTCCAACGCCTGAGGCGCGAGGCCACGGGGCTCACAGAGTCGCTGGTGCCAGAGGCAGGGGCTCTACTGCTTTGTGGATTTTAGATATTTAGGGTTAAGGGATTTTTGACATTTAGGATTTAGGGATTTCGAAATCAAGGATTTAGGTGTTTTGAAATTTAGGATTTAGGGATGTTGAAATTTAAAATTTCATAGGGATTGTAAAATCTGGCGCTTCGTGGTTTTAAAGTCTCTAGGGGTTTAAAATTTAGGGAGTTTGGAAACTTAGGGTTTCGTGGTGTCAGAGCTTTCGATTTCGGGATTCAGGGTTGAGGGTTTCATGGTGTAAGGGTCAAGGATTTACGTTTTTTTGCAATTATAGGTTTATGGTTGTAACTTGTTATTTGATTTTGTTGTTTCTTGTTGTTTCTATTTGTTTGTTTTTTGGGCATACTTGGCACATCGTGGTTTCTTGTAGTTCTTGTTGTTGGTAGAGGGATGTTTTCAGGTGTTCCGGCATTTGCACACACAGGTTTTTCGGGGCAGAGGGCTGGCTCATGTATGGTTCAGGGCATTCGTGAGGCTAATTTAGAGGCCAAGAATTGAAATATGGTTTGGGGGTATATTATATTTTTGCTGTAATAAGGAAACCCTACTACGGAACCCTCAAAACCCTATTCTAACTAGTAAGGCCCCTACATTAGATGTGCTTAGGTTCCTTGCATAATATAAGGTTAGGGTTTGCAAGACTCGCCCTCAGTGCCTCAGGACGTGTGTTTGACAGCTTTTTTTTTGGTAGAGCTGGCATGTACAACAAGCCGGTCTGGAACCCTACGATCAATGCCGTACAAACCCCACACAGGCCACACCAAAATTCCCTAATCCTTATTAAGCCATCTTAAACCAAACCTGAATCACCGAACTCATAAACCTAAACTTTCTAAACCCAAATAAACCCCTTAGCGGAACACTGCCCCTTCCGACCGTCTTGCAGACTCTTCCTCGTTACACGGCGCTGCTGGAGAAACGTTTCGAGGACGGCACCGAAGCGAGCCCAAGCTTCTGGAAGGTCTGAATAGATTCGGTGTTTACGAGCCCTGAGGGTCCATGTACCAATGTAGGGACTACTCTAAGGCCAAAGTATGTACTATTTGGGTACATGGACCCTTGGGGCGAGTGTTCCGTAATGATAGGGTTCAGTTCTGTAGGGTTCACAGAAGTGTTAAGTTAAAGGGTCAAAAGGATCCAACAATCAGATATTTGGGCTTAGGATCTAGGTTCCTGAGTAGTACCCCTTTGCCTTTTTTGGGGGTTCCGCTAGTAAACACCGACTAGTAGGCAAAAGGGTACCCTTGCCACAAAGGGTCTACTCAGGAACCTAGGTGGGTAATATTTGGGGGGCAAGATGTGACTACATTGTATGTCGACCCTAGGGTGGTGTCATTTTACAGTGTCCCTTCCAATGTTCTGAAAAGTGTGCCTTGATAAGGGTTCTTGTAAGGGCTTACAGGGTTTTGTAAGGGCTAAAAACGTAGGAATCGGAATAAGTAGTAGTCGTAAATAGCAAGCCATCATGGCTGCTCTACAGTTACCATAATGTGCCCAAAACCCTACACTGATCATTAAGGCCGCCCCTTTACATAAACACAAACTATGAAGGTTTTGGGGTTTAGGGTGTCAGCGGGGTTTCATTTCTGAGGGCTCTGGACGGGGTTTAGGTGTTGGGACGTCTGAGGGCTAGGGATTTGCTGGCTGAGGGGTTTAGACTCTGTTGTAGAGTGTCCGGTCAGGTCCCTGCTTCAGAAATGACGATACACGAGACAGCTATGCAGTTTTGTAACTGCATTGCTTGTCGAAGCTGCAATGGCCTTGCCGGCGAGTACGGCCGTAGCAATCGTTTCTGTGTATATACATACATATAGTCATGTGTATATATATATATATATATATATATATATATATATATTATATATGTATATATATGACGATATGTATGCATGTATCTATGCGTGCTAACTTATCTGTTGTGGTATTCATATGTATGTCAGCATTGTTCCGTGCATATATTGCAATACCATGTGCGAGAGAGAGAGAGAGAGAGAGAGAGAGAGAGAGAGAGAGAGAGAGAGAGAGAGAGAGAGAGAGAGAGAGAGGGTGTGTGTGTGTGTAAAGTCTTGTATGCATGAAGTGCTCTGCCCCAGACCTAGTCGTAACACCTTCTCTCACTAACACGCTAGAAATCACAAAGGCAGCCGTGTGGAAGCTTCGACAACCCATGAAACCTGGACATAACCTTAAACTTTACATGTGTACACCCTCACAGAATCCCGTGGCTTCAGGATTTAGGGCTTCCAGGTTTAGGGTAGCGGCTGGCCCGCAGAACCGGATAAAGCCACTCATAAATCCAGTCAGCCCGAGGTACGGACACTCATGCACACACACACACACACACACACACACACACACAAACACGCGCACGCACACAAACCCTGTAAAATCTGCTAAACCCAATACCCCAAAACGCGGCAGCCTACTAATCCTTAATTGCTGTAGACCCCCCCCCCCCTCCATGTCTGCTTCAGTCCTCCACCGCCGCCGTGCTGGGCAGTGCCGATGTGCCCGAAAGCCTTGCACCATCCTTCGCGTTCAGTTCTTTCTCCGTTAGGTTGGGGTTTGGAGGTTTAAGACTTTGAGGATTCAGGTTTGGAGTTGAGGGTTTGGGTTCAGGGCTTTAGATCAGGGACACAAAAGGGACAGAAGCATAAGCATTTTATAAGGATATCCCTACCTTATTGGGCTTCATTATAAGGGGGTTTACATGGGATATCCCCATCCTATTTTTTGCTTATGTGCTGTTTTGGGTCCCTTTTGGAGTTTTACTGAGCTTTGCACGTCGGATTCTGTCCGTAATGCAGCACAAAGTGCTTGCCTCGAAAACAAAGTTGACGATCCTGCCTGGAAGATATTCGAAGGATCGGGGAAGCCGGGTTTAGGTTCTGCATATCTTTGCATGGATATATGATACAGATGTGCCTTGGGTGGGGTTCTGCCACTGATAGTACTTATCCTACCACCACAAAGTCCCTGGTCGTTCGCTTGCCTGAGATTTGGGCCTACATACAGAGGTCTGGGGAGTTGGCAATCACATCCCTAGTAGACCCTATTAGGGTTGCGAAAAAGGACCCAAACATAAGCTTTTGAGTGGAACATCCCTACCTCATTGCTTTGATTAGAAAGGGACTTATGGGATGACTCTGGTTGGCTATGGTTTAAGTACCGTTTTGGGTCCCTACCTACTGTACACTACACGATGCCCATGTCGTACTCCATACCAAGCTTTCTCAAGGACGTGAAACTGCTGCATTATGTTGTTTTTGCGTTTGCGGGTTTAGGTCGGGTAGTCGCGATGCTTGTTCGCATAGGTTTGCGCCGGGTGGCACGTGTCCTTTTTGGGATGCTGGGTTTCGTTTGTGGTGCTGACTTTTACGACTTCGGGTCTTGGCGATTCGGATTCAGAGTAAACCATAAACCCCTAAACCCTAAACCGTTTGCAGCTCCAGGGGGGACCCCCAGGACCCGACGGGTCCTAAGTACCTTCTTGGGGGGATACTTACCCAAACCGGCAGTGCAATTCCTACTACAGCAATGATGTTTAACCCGTACTTTCTGCTACACAGCTACTTAGAGCCCCTTTAGGGATGAAGCTTTCGGGTTTTAGGGGTGAGGGCACGGGGTGTCTGGACCTTCGAAATAGTGATTTTACACCCCCCCCCCCCTCCCCCCAACTTGAAGGTTTGGCCAGGACAAGTAATCTTTTCGCGGAGTGCTCCGAATAAACTGCGAATGAATATACTAGCTGATCGAGATAAACTCTGATACACAGTAGGTTGCGGCGTCTTTCCGATTTAGGGTGCACGTCTCGATTAGGCCCCAAACCTAAACCCTAAACCCTAAACCCTAAACCGTGTCACTCAGGCATTGGGCAGTGATGCGACTTTTGGTCCCAACGGCTTGTGCGATGCGCCGAAGCTTGGACGAAAGCGTCGTACATACCGCTCCCAGTTGAGGTTTCCTATGCACATAGGACTTAGAGTCAGAACTATACCCTCGGATGGTTCAAGTGGTGATGTTGAGAAGGCTTATGATAGCGAAGAAACGTCATGCTAGCGAATCTTTTCGTGTTTTTAGGATGGAGCCCAGCGGCTGCATCCTCCGCAGCATATGGGAGTTTCCAAACTTAGGGGTACCTTATTTTGGGGTCCTTATAATATGGATCCTGCTATGTAGGGTACTATATTAGGGTCCCCTAAAATCCGGAAACTCCCATATCAGCACAGTACACCACCAATAGAGATTGCTCGTTTCAGGACGACGATTTCGAGCACTGGCAATACGGAGATGACTAGTACGACGGAGGGGCCTCCTCATCTTTCTTCTCCGTTTCCTATTATGTACTACTAAGAGGGTTTCCATCAGGATAAGTATTACTAGTGGTGCTGTTCTTAGTCGGTGTCGGAGTCAGAGTCGACGCCGTGTACTTTATTCAGTGTGGTGTGTTAGTCACTTGTGGTGTGTTTGTTTGTGTAATCGTAACCGTGTCTGTGGTGATGTTGATCGTGTAATCGCAACTGTGACTATGGCGATGTTGATCAAATGCCATACATGGTTACAAGGGTGAATAGGTCCCCTTGGAAGTACATGTGAACCCTCCTTCACCATGATGATCGCACAAGGAGCTTGGAACCAGAAGAGGAGGTGGCAGATGCAGAAGAGGCGCGACCTGGGGGCATCCCCCCGTTCTGATTGTGTTTCCCCTAACACCTTATGCACGCTAAGCCCTGGCTTCAGACTCTAAAACTCTAAACCCTGCAACTCTTCAGGGTTTGGATGTAGGAGACTCCTCAATGACCATAGCACATGAGAAGTTCAGATTTCCAGGTCGCCAGGTGTAGTTCACGAATTGCCTCCACATTGGGAAATCTAAGAAGCTTAGTGGATGTGCGGCTTCAAAGCTTTACGGGCCCGAGGCCGAGGTTAGCTTGGATACTATTAGTTACCCTAAGGCCCCAAAGTAGTTCCTTGTTGGGGTTCATACATAGAATCCTACTATAATGTAATCCCAAAAAGGAACTACTATGGAGCCTGAAGGTAGTGTCTATTGGTTAGTGTGTCAGGAGCCTGCAACGCAAAACTACCCTAAACCCTAAACCCCTAAACCCTAAACCCTTTTCAACCTCCAATCCTTAACCTGGCAGTCACTGATTTGGCTGCCGCCATAGACCGGCATATTTCAGCTACCCTAAGGCTCCATGTACCCATATAATGGATACTTAAGCCTAAACGTTCACATAAAGGGACCACTTTAAGGTTTAAGTACACGGAGCCTTTGGGCTTTAGCTTCATGAGAAGAGGTTGGATCACTGTATCGATGCCTTAAATCCGAAAACCTCGACCGAAGCCTTGGCTTGCTTGTACCAGGCTACTCGAGCCTTAAAACAACATGTCGCAGCCTTTGTCGAGCTCAAGCTGCTAAGTCAGTCGAAAGGTCAGCTGTAGCATCCCTCTGCTGAGATGCCGCGATCCGTGACGAGCTCCGGGACGAATAGCCAAGGCAACAGCTATCGCTCCTACTCGGACGGGTCCTACTCCTACAGCAACAGCTACAACTCGAACGGCTCATCCCAGAGTGCCAGCTACTACTATTCGAACACTGGAAGTGGCCATGGCTTCTACAGCTCAAACTCAGGTTGCCGAGTGGCACTTTGGGATGCTTTCGAACTCCTTTACGGCTTTCAAAGGGGTTTCTTAGTCCTAGGGCCCTGGGGCCCTAAATCTACAACCCAGGTTCTTCCAGCGGCCAGTACTCCTCGCATACGAACTATGGCACCGGGACGACTACGACACGCAGTAAGTGAGCGGCAACGGCCTGGCAGCCGTGACTTGGGCGTTCAGCGTCTGGGTGCCCGAAAGGATCTAAGTACTTCCACAGAGCAGCGTCGTATACAGAAACGCGGCTATCGCGGTATGTAGGTATTCAGGATCCTTTGGGTAAGTGGTGCCGTCCACAGGGATATGCACTGCCGGGGGTGAAGAGCAGTGGCAGTTTCGTCGAAGCCCCGTGCCAAGAAGTGCAGGTGGCATGGAGGCACATTGGATCGCAGCTGAAAGCAGCATTCTGTTCATTTTCGCGCGCAGGGCATGGGGCGGGTTAAAGCGCAAACATTAAAGAAAGCCATGCAAACTGACTCGTTGGTTCCTCACTCTACAAGACAAACACCGAAACCAAAGCAGAGCCCGGTACCCACAAGCCCTAAGTCGGAGAGGCTTGAGAGGAACCCATGCCAGGGTCGATCAAAGCGCTAGTGACGCCTTAGACAGGGAGCCCCGCACCATCGTGTTGAAGCCGCACTGGGTTATGTCGGCGCTACATGGCGCTACAGCATAAGCTGTTATATTGCTTGCCGAAAGAAAGACGCTTTCGAGAGCCCTGCGCAAACCGCGACCCTAAACCAAAGCCCAGAAGGCTAATTAGAGACTGAAGCCTGCAACCTTGAACCTTGATAAGGCCCTGATACAAGACCCGTCTTCGAGCACTCCATAGCAGCCTATAGTTATATATGGGGGTTTCCGAACATAGGGGTACCTTATTTTGGGATCCTTATAATAAGGATCCTACTATTTAGGGTACTATATTAGGGACCCCTATTTTCGGAAACTCCCACATTAAGCGCCACCACACCCTCGTATATACATACAGAAACCCTACACATCATCCAATCCCTTCAAAGAGAGAGATCCCAGACAGCTGTGAGCAAATGCGAACCCGAAACGTCCTGATGAACCTTGCGCCCTAATGTAGGCGCCTTAATAATTAGACTCTTTTTTTTTTTTTTATTTTTTTTTGGGGGGGGGTCGTTATTGTAGTTACACCATAATATACCCCCCGAGCCCTACTCGACTTATTTATTCGGCGCCTACATTAGAAGAGAGCCAAAAGAGGAGAGCATCCTCCTTGTGGCGAAGTGCGATGCTGTGCTCAGCGCTTTGGTGGAGCTTTCGGGAGGTGCGTCAGGGATTGTTGGTGAGATCTTGGAGCTTCTAAGCGTTGGGATGTTTGCTTGACTTAGATTAACAGTGCGGTGAGAACGGACAGTAGGATGACGCACATTTTGCTGTTGTCTATTTCGGGGCTGGTTTTGTAGATGTGCGAAACCATGGAAAAGTCTTCTTTTTTCAGGATCACGTGGGTGGGGAACTCAGGGGTTGCGGTTCGGGAGTGGGTAGTATGGAGGTTTTCGGGTTTTGCTTTGAGGGGTTTAGGAAGGTTGGGAGTTCGGGGCGCTCAAATCTAAACCCCTACACCCTAGACCCTAAGTTTAGGGCTGAGGCTTCAGATTGCACCTGTCGATTGAGCAGGTGCCGCCCAGGGTCTCTTCAGCGAGGTCTGGCGCGACGAAGAGCAGTGCGAGGCAGGAAGCCTTGATAGTGCAACCGGATCCACGTGCTTGAACGGGAGACGACTCTGAACTTCTACACACCCATGATCGCCATTCCTCCATGGAAACCATGCTTTCTACTGTGTCGTTATTGCCGATCCTTAAGATCTAACATTTCCCGGCTCTGAAGCCTAAGCTTAAGTCTCCGACGGTCACAGCTAGCAAGAAGCCGATGTGTGTTGTTATTATTTTCATTTCGATGTTGGTTCCTGTTCTCTCGGCCCCCTTAGCTGCAACCTCATGTGGAAGTCCCAAAACATACACCCAAGCTACATACGTGTGTATATACATAGTGTGTTTATACAATATGTGTACATATATGTACAATTACATGTATTTATGTTAATTTACAGAGAGAATTGTATATATAAATATATATATATTTATATTTATATTTATATTTATATATATTATATATATATATATATATATATATATATATATTTATATTTATATATATATATATATATTTATATTTATATATATATATATATATATATATATATATTTGTATATATATGTATATATGTATATATGTATATATTACATATACACACGCATACATACATACATACATACATACCCTAGAGGTCCAAGCCTTGACAACGTGCTGTGCCAGGCCATTCTGATGCGCTTCGCCGCAGCGTGGGACGAGCGATATGCAGCCCCAGCCCCTCGAACATCCCCTCGGGTTTAGGGTTTAGGGTTCAGGGTTCAGGGTTCAGGGTTGCTTGCTTGGAGGAAACTTCGATGGACCACAGATGCAGTTTCCGGCATCGTATATAGAATCTGTAGAACCCGATTTTTCTGAGCGGGTCACGGATGCAAGTTCCAGTATATAGAATCCTTATTTTCTGAGCTATGGGGAGGTAGTCAGCATCTTTATAATCACCGCAGTTCCTGGTACAGCCACCCTATGTTTCAGCACGAAAGGCGAGGCCATGCATTGAAGTTTGACGATCTCAGTCCAGCATAAAGGTCTGAGTGATGCGGGTTGGGTTTTGGTGCTTACTCAAGATTACATAGGGAATTCATGTTGTAATGAATTCTTCAGAATCCCCCCCCCCCCCCCCCCCGCCCCCGCAACACTGCATGAAGCCTTCAACCCAGGTTCAACCCGGAACGATGCGTGACAGGCTGAACCCTACGGCCCATGTTCCCATGTCGTATATACTTCCGCCCATAGAACCCTTTATAAAGGTCTGAGTACATCAACACTTACCAATACTATTTTGGTGTTCCTTACTTTGATTTTCACTATAGTATAATGAGCCCCAAAACCCTATTCTAATTGTTAAGGCCCCTTTATTAGATGGCTGCTTCAGGGAACCTTCAGCTGATGAACTTGAAACCCACGTGCCATACGGAAGACGACCCCAGCCACCCGAACCCCAAGCCTGAACCTAACCATCTCGGTTCAGGGTTTAGGGTTTAGGGGTAATTCGAACAGGGTTTTGCGATAAACTATGCTGTATTCCTACAGTGACTTTAAGGGCATAGTATGTACTACTTGCAGACCCTGCTATTGCAAGACTTGTCCCTTAGACCCTCATCACGCTGCCACGGAAAGTTATGGTTTGGGGTACCCCGCAAACCCTAAGCCCTAAACGCAAACCCTAAACCCTAAACTCTAATCCCTAAGCCCTGAGGTCCAGCGGCTCTTTGCCGCCAGCGCTGATGCCCAAGCAGCTGCCTGGGGTTGCATCCAGCGGGCTTTGCAGCTGAGCTTTGCAAGAGCAAAAAGTTTTTAGGGTTCAGGGTCCCTTTCAAAGGGGTTTAGGGTCCTTTTCGAAAGGGTTTTGGGTTTAGGGTTTTAGGGTTTAGGGTTTTAGGTCCCAAAAAGGGACCATCCTCCAAAATTTGAGATTTCGGGTGTTAGGTTTAGAGTAGCAGCCAACCTTTGCTAAGCCGTGATGTGGGGGATGGATCCCCACAGACCCAAACCTTACAGCCCTAAAGCTTACATATAAACACTAAACCTACAGGCATAATGCCATGAGGTCGTTGTGTTGGATGTTGACGGCTTAGGTTTCAAGCTGCAGACATGGGGGCTCAGGCTCAGACAATCTCGGACACTCCAGGATTAGGATCAATCTTTACCCTCAGCTCCCCTGTTGGGTACTTTCTTTGCATGCGCTTACAAGCTGCCTTCAGAAGGTAGTTGACTCCTGACCCTCCCGGCGGTGTCGGCCAAGCTCCACAGCCCTGCGCAAACTCGGAACCCACAAAGTCCTGAAACCCTTGAAGCTTTAAAACCTACCTTTTTAAGGACTTATATAAGGAAATCGTAATAAGGAACCCTGAAAAGGTAGGTTATTCCGGGTTAAGGTAGGCCCTGAACCTACAACCATGGTGAATTGAACCCTCAATCTTCAACCCTGTAGGGCCCTAACACCAAGGCTCTTGAACTTGCTGGATGCCGTGCCTTGGACAGATTTCGGGCCTTTGAGCGATAAGGGGGTTTCCGAAAGTAGGGGACCCTAATATGATACCCTAAATAGTAGGATCCTTATTATAAAGACCCCCAGAATAAGGTACCCCTATTTTCGGAAACTCCCATAAAGAGCCCAAACCCCTAAACCCCTAAACCGGCCCAGAGGGCTCATAATTATGTAGAACCATTATGGAATTTGGTCCCCTAAAACCATGATTAAGATGGGCTCATAATGATGTAGAATCATTATGGAAGTGGGTCCCCTAAAGCCATGATTAAGATGTGTTTTTTGGCCTTCGTTCCACAATGGTAGAGTATGTGGACCCTCTTGGCGGGCTCTAGGCTGAGGCTTGCAGGAGAAAGGCTCGGCTTCTACCTATGTGAGGCAATTGCAAAAGGGCTTACGGTTTTTCAGTGGCTGACAAAGAGAGGGAACAGGGTTTTGGGGTTGTTGCAGGGGTTGGGTTTTTGGAGCTGGGGTCCAAGGATCCAATTGTACCTTAGAAGGGGCCCCCACCCTGTAATAGTGGTATAATAGGAATATAATAGGGCCCGAATATAATCCTTATAGTCAATATTACAGGGTGGGGGCAGCTTCTAAAGTGTACCTGCCGTTTTAGTGCCTGGTGTATCCATCGTGTTCAGCATGACACCGTTATGGGGGACCTAAGCCCAAAGCAGAAGCCTCTAGACCAGAGTTCGGGGTTGCTTGATCATCGTCCTAATCCCCACCCTAAACCCTACCTATAGTCCCCATTGTAGTTCCTTTTTTTGGTTAACCAGAAATTCTATTATAAGATCCTAACCATAAAATTGGTTAACCAAAAAAAGGGAACTACAATGGAGACTATAGGTAGACGCCTGATCCTACAAGCCAGCTTGGGCTTCCTTTGAAAAAGGCTTGAAGGGCATCTTGCCGTTTATAAACCCAGATTTGTAACACTGAGTTGGTAAGCCCTACACCGCAAATCCTAAACTCTAAACTCTACAATCCTAAGCTCCTAAAGGTCCCACAATTTGCTCATCGAAACGCTATTTGAACCCTAGACCACGACCCAATAAAACCAAAAGCCCGAAAGGAAATCCTTCAGTCCTTAAACCCTTCAACACCCTCAGCCCTAAGACCCTTTATAGGAATCCTTTTGGGCTTTGAGAAAAGGGGCCCTTAAAGGAGGTCTCACAGGAACTCTTCAAGGATCTTAGGTGTTCCCTAAAGCTTCGTAAGAGCCAGGCGGAGTCTCCGGAAGAGTCCATCGAAGTGGAGACACAGCACAACTACAAGCGCCCGGGCTCAGGACAGTTCGTTGAGTAAGTTTAATACACCGCTACATATGTTCATGCTTGCATGTATATGTTTGTACATATATATATATATATATATATATATAGATATCTACACATATGTGTGTATATACATACGGGTCCACCTCGAAATCCACACCTTACTGTGTACACATATGACATACAATGCATATGAATACATGTAGGTATACATGTGTGGTTCGCTATCAGCTCTTTTATTTTCGCATCTGCCTGTGAAACTTCGTTTGTTTGTTGAATTGAATGCATTTGAATTTTGTTGAAATGAACCCAATTAAAGATCTTATGCTTATACTGAGATAGTCTATATACATGTTTATGTTTCAGTTCCCGGAGGATTGTCTAAGAATGTTATGAGGGTCCATTCTCAAGCCCAGTCTAAGCGGACCCCAGAGCCCCACCGCAAGTAGTTTAGGCTTGGGCTTGATGGGTCAGGTGGCTTCAGAGTCTAAGCTAAACCCTAGACCCATCTTTGCTATATAGAAACCCTGCTTTCATTGTGTAGGTATGAAAGATCTTTTGGGCAGACAGATACCCCGGACACTCCGTAATGTTTTTTGAATCCCCGAGCGCACAGTGAACGCGTGAGTTTCGAGACACTGACTCTCGGAGCCCTACACCCGAAAAGCCCGAACCCTTGAAGTCCCGGTAATATAGGTGCCGAAAGAATTGTCAATACTGTTTTCGGTGGTTTTCCAGTATAATTTGAGGAAAATCGGCCCGCAAACCCTAGGTTAATTATTAATAAGACCCCTATATTAGGCCCCAGCTTCGCCCAGGTGTCATCAGAATGTGGTCTTCAAGGTCATGTGCCGCTCTGCTTCCCGGTTGCGTCTGACCTTCGATGGGCAGTGCCATTCCAACGACCAGGCCGGGGCATCCTATAGTCTCCATTGTAGTTCCTTGTTTTGGTTAACCAGTTTTATGGTTAGGATCTTATAATGGAGTTTCTGGTTAACCCAAAAAAAGGAACTACAATGGAGACTATAGGCATTCTGTAAGGATTCCATGAGGGCTTCCTGTTGGTTCCAGGAGAGTTGCATACGGGGTTTCGCATACTACCGGCTGGTACTACCCTTGCTACACCCGATCTACAATGCGAGCTTCTTGAATTTACTAGACCTTTACATTTCGTAAGGGTTCCGTGAGCCCAAAAGCCTATAAACCTTAAACCCCCAGCCATAATCAAAGCACGCAGCAACACAGGCTTACCCTTAGACCCGCTTCGGATTCAGTACATACTACACGCTCCAAACAGGCCCCAAGAACCTAAACCCTGACAACTTAAACTCCAGACATCCGAACCCCAAACCACCTCCTAAACCCTGAACCCTAAACCCCAAGCTCCGACACTGACACCTGCTGCTGCTGAAGAGGACACGCTCTCGATTTTTGCGGATGCCAAGCTCAGTCGCGTCCTTGCCGCAAAAGCGCAGAAGCCGAAGATTTCGCAGTAGTTTACCTATAGTCTCCATTGTAGTTCCTTTTTTGGTTAACCAATTTTATGGTTAGGATCTTATAGACCAAAAAAAAGGAACTACAATGGAGACTATATGTAGGGCATATCGGGTTTTGGGCTTCAGGGCTTTGGGGTAGGGGGGGTTCAGGGGTTCAGGGGGTTGGGGGTTTCTGGTTTAGGGTTTACGGGGTGGGGCTCGAAGGAGGTTACCTACTGAGTTCAATAATGTGGAGGCCTTAATAATTAGCTATACTATTTTGAAACTTTGGGGGGGTTCCTTAATATGAGTTCAGTACAATGGACCTCGAAACCCTATTAGAATGGTTAAGGCCCCTATATTAATAGCTCTTCACACTTGTTTCAGTCTCGTCATGTCTGGAGATGCCAAGTAGACAAAGGACAGCTACCTGGGGTCGAACAGTCCATGCATGCTACGTGAGACCTGGTTATTCGGAGTGTCAGGGATTGCGTCTCCAAACCCTCAACCTCCAGACCCCTGAATCCCTTAACCCTAAACCCTAAACGGGGCCTTTTCAACCTGCTAAACCCTTGATGAGGCTCATTGAAGGGATACTACTCTTAGCTCGCTTGACTCCAGAGCAGACCCTGTGTGAGGGCTTTCAAGCCATTACGGTACTGGTTCGCGTTTACAGCAGGGTGTGGGGCCAGGGGTGTAGGGTTCAGAGCTGGTTTAGATAGACTCGTTTAGACTACAGGTTCGGGTGTGGGGTGTTGTGTTTTGGGTCCAGGGTGATTCTGTCTTCTCTTCCCCCAAATGGGTCCTGGAGCCCGAACTGTTTTAACCCCCTGCTCTTGAGAGGGATCGCCGCATGGGGGTGCGAAGGAGGCACTCCAAAGAGTCATGAGCCGAAACACAAACACGCCCAGAGTCGAATCCTTACACCCTACTGCCCAAATCCGTAAGCCTCAAATCTCTGCACCTTACTGCCCAAATCCATAAGCCTGAAGTCAATACACCTTACTGCCCAAATCCATAAGCCTTAAATCCCGACACCTTACTGCCCGAATCCAGAAGCCTTAAAGCCAAAATCTCAAACCCCGAAACTAAGAAACCGCAAGTATATAAATCGTGGACCCGACCCTGGACGCTAAACCTCCCTAGACCCCCCCGATTCACGCCCTAGGAGCCACATTTACATGGAAGTTACTGGGTTTCGCTCAGCGTAAGGCTGTGTGTGAAGAATTTAAGTAACGGTAACCCTGTATGATGTAGAGTATAGATCATTCAGCTCCCAAGGAAAGGCAAGAGAACCTAGTTCCTAACCCCCGAACTTCAAACCCTACCTGGGGATCCGAAAACCTGCTGCCTCAAGGGTTATACCCTATAACCGAAGGCTCGCAACCTGCTATTTTGTGGGTTTGAGGTTGCCAGTAAAACCTCAGCCCTCACCCTAAACCCTAATCCCCGAAACCCCTAAACCCCCAAACCTAAACCCTAAACCCCTAAACCCGTAAACCCTAAAGCACTAAACCCCTAAATCCCTAAACCACTAAACCCCTAAACCCTAAACCGCTGAACCCCTAAACCCCTAGACCTAAACCCTAAACCACTAAACCCTAAACCCTAAACCCCTAAACCCTAGACCTGAAACCCCTAAACCCTAAACCCCGAAACCCCTAAACCTGAACCCTAAACTAAACCTAAACCCTAAACCCCTAAACCCGTAAACCCTAAAGCACTAAACCCCTAAATCCCTAAACCACTAAACCCCTAAACCCTAAACCGCTGAACCCCTAAACCCCTAGACCTAAACCCTAAACCACTAAACCCTAAACCCTAAACCCCTAAACCCTAGACCTGAAACCCCTAAACCCTAAACCCCGAAACCCCTAAACCTGAACCCTAAACTAAACCTAAACCCTAAACCCCTAAACCCGTAAACCCTAAAGCACTAAACCCCTAAATCCCTAAACCACTAAACCCCTAAACCCTAAACCGCTGAACCCCTAAACCCCTAGACCTAAACCCTAAACCACTAAACCCTAAACCCTAAACCCCTAAACCCTAAACCCCTAAACCCTAGACCTGAAACCCCTAAACCCTAAACCCCGAAACCCCTAAACCTGAACCCTAAACTAAACCTAAACCCTAAACCCCTAAACCCGTAAACCCTAAAGCACTAAACCCCTAAATCCCTAAACCACTAAACCCCTAAACCCTAAACCGCTGAACCCCTAAACCCCTAGACCTAAACCCTAAACCACTAAACCCTAAACCCTAAACCCCTAAACCCTAAACCCCTAAACCCTAGACCTGAAACCCCTAAACCCTAAACCCCGAAACCCCTAAACCTGAACCCTAAACTAAACCTAAACCCTAAACCTAAAACCCTAAACCCCTAAACAACCCTAAACCCGCTGAACCCTAGACCTGAAACCCAAGAACAACGGTCAGGAAAGCTGGCAGCCTGCTCGGGGAAGCAGCCTGGTTTTGGCTCGGCTCCTGCCTTAGACGCTGTACTGGGAGTTAGGATTAAGGGAACCCTTGGGGATGAAGACCATCTTAATAAGGTCCCTTAAAATTAAGAGAGCCAGAAGTAGGGTTCAGAAGGGGTGCGCTTTAAGGGGGTCTCTCAAATAATACTACCTGTGTACTTCTAGGCTTCAGGGTTTGGAGTTTGGCGTTTCAGGTACAGGTATGAGTCAGGGAGTATTTAGGGTTTGGGCTTCATATGTAACATATGGTTTCATAGAAGGTTTCACGAGGCTTTACCGCGTTTCAGAAGGGTCTCGTTCAGAAGCCCGGAGCCTTCAAATTACCATCGGGTGTGGTGGTAGATTATGGTATCAGTATATGGGAGTTTCCGAAAATCGGGGAATTGTGTAATACCCTAAGTAGTAGGATCCCTATTATAAGGACCCCCAAATAAGGTACCCCTTGTTTTCGGAAACTCCCATATCTGGGCTCTACGGAAATCTTGTTTCTGACGCTTCAGACCTCTATTACCCTAAGGGCCCATGTACTCATATAGTATATACATTGGCCTTAATGTAGTCCCTATATAGGTACTTTGGAGCCCATGTATCTCTATATGGGTACATGGACCCTTAGGGTTATAGAACCACAAGGAGTTAAAGCGACAGTATACTTACGACTGGCATCGGCCATCGCAGAAGCATTGAGACCACGAGAGCCACGATCATGACAGCGACCATGTCACGAGGTGAGGAATCCTTCGCTCCATGCCCATATACATAATATATATATGTATATATATATATATATATACTTGTATGTATATATATATATGTATATCCATATATATATATATATATATTCATTTATTTATTCATTTATTTATTTATTTATGTAATTATTTATATATTGTACTATATACATACACATATTCTACAGGCGTATACTAGGCGTTTTTGTGTGTGAATTGGTGGTCCAGTGGTGTTTGTTTGGGGATAGTAGCAAAGGAGTATAGACTACTGGGCACCTTACTATAGGGGCCTTAGAAATTACCTATGGCTCTTTAAAGGGATCCTTAAAGGGGTCTATAGGGCATCTACAGCAGGGTTCTATATTAGGGGCCTTAGAAATACTCATACTATTTTGGGTGTTTGTTGTATAATTGTCGTTCGATGGGCCCCAAAACCCTATTCTGATTATTAGGGCCCCTATATTATATGGCCTGGTCCCGGATGTGTGGTATTCTTCCGGCCTGAAAGGCTCGAATAGGGATTTCTGGCGGCAAATTGGAACTATAACCTTAACTGTAGGGGTGGTAGCTTTTTCGACTCATTCCATGCTCTGTGTGAATCAGAATGTTTGTATCGGGTTTGATTTTGAGACTCTCCCCATGTTTGGAAGCTCCCACATCTTAGTCGAAGTCGACGGACGGGACCCAGCCCGAAGTGCCTCCGATGGCCAAGGAGTCCTCTATGGAGGAACTGCTGGCCAAAAACCGTTGAACGAACGGTAGTTTGTGATCCGTTTTGTGGAGTTCTGACAGAGTAAACAGCAGAAATACTAATTGTAGATGTAGGGATGTAGGTAGTCCCTGTGCAGTTTTACCACTCAACGCTATTCAGAGCTAAGGCCCCCATCTTAGGCCTCACGGCATACACAATGCCCATAGCCGTCAGGTGGTCCAAGTGTACGGCAACTCTGCTTGGTTTGTTTGGCGATCGGGCAGCGACCGGCGAAGAAGTGATCGCGATGCTGGCTATTGGGGGCCGCCCGGCTGGGAATTCATTTGCGTAGAACTGCTGTGCTTCAATCGGAATGGCTGTTTTTCTTTGCATCCTACTGCTACCCGCCAGCGTATCATGCATAGAAGCTGCTTCCGATGCGGTGTAGCCTCTAGCAACACAGACGCAAGAAACGAACCTGTCCCAAATGCTCTGAGATCCCGTGATGGGCTCCGTGCTAAGGCTGCAAAGAAACGGGTTTAGGCCCAAGACAACAGCAACACTGACTCCCATGAAAGATGGCACGGCTGCGGTGGTAGAGCAGTGGTTTGCATACTACGAGGTGGCGCATGGTGGTTGATGTTGCTGCGACCTCAGTGAGCTCCAGCTCGAGTTGAAAGCTGAAGGTTTACGGATTGGAGCCAGGGATCAAGTGGATGGTTTCGCCTTACGTTTGTGCTTTTTGGACTTGGGCTGAGCTTAGAGCCTTGTGTCTTTGAGCGCAGCAGCAGAAGCTTGAGGTGAGTCCTCTGCGTGCTGTAAAGTTTCGTGCTTCGTCTTTGGACGGTTGTCTGTTTCGTCTTTGGACCTTTGTCTGTCGCCGGCTTAAGTTTGAATACATACTGCCCTAAACCCCTAATCCTAAACTTTAAACTTCATCCAGCAGCTTCTTGTCATTGAGGGTTCTGAGTGGATCCTTGCCGGCCGTTTCTTCAAAGTGGTACTTTGGGGCGAGGGCTCCTTTCAGGAAAAGTCTCTGGGAGTTTGGAGAATGTGTGAGTCGTTTGGGGTTGCAAGGTGTAGTGTTCTAAGTGGTAGCTTGTCACCTGCCACGCTCATTCACAGTTCCAGTTTTCTTTAAGGCATCAATCCGATCCCTTGCGCTCTTGTTGTGCTGTGCTCGTGTCTCGTACGACTCGTGTATGTTTGTTCCTACGAGCTAGAGTGGGACTATCCGTGGCAGTTTCGACTACTACTACTACTACTACTACTACTACTACTGCTGCTGCTCCTGCTACTACTACTATTACTACTACTACTACTACTACTACTACTACTACTACTACTACTACTACTACTACTACTACTACTACTACTACTACTACTACTACTAGTACTACTACTACTACTACTACTACTACTACTACTACTACTACTACTACTACTACTACTACTACTACCACTACTACCACTACGACGACGACGAGTACTACTACTGCTACTGCTACTGCTACTGCTACTGCTACTGCTACTACTACTACTACTACTACTACTACTACTACTACTACTACTACTACTACTACTACTACTACTACTACTACTACTACTACTACTATTACTATACGAGACCGCGACGACCATGACGACGTCTCCTGCGACTACTACAGCCAGAGGACTGCTGCTGCTGCTCCGACTCCCTGGGGCGACGACAGCGACGACGACCTACTGATACTGTTACTTATACTCTTCAAGGTAGGGCTTTGGGACATTTTATATTTTCCTTTATTGGGCTTAAGAGGATCTTATTTACTAATATTTTTCAAAGGCTTTAAAAGCCCCACCTAGTCTTCCTGCGGCCACTAGACGCACCACTACCAATACCATGGCGACTGCCACTCTCGGTTCTAAGAAGTTCTGCGACCGAAGCTGTCTTTCCACTATTGTTTTGGGATCGCCAACCCTAGCAGCCCTAGCAGAACTGTCGGCTCAGGTCCAATGCCAGGCAGATGGATATGTTTGAGCTCTTTTGTGCTTGGGTCTTGCCTTCTGGCTCTTGTAGCGTTTTAAGCATTTCACATAAGAAGTCCCATACGCTTTAACAAGCATCTTCAGCCACTAATCCTTAAACCCTGCCCTAAGCCCTCCTGAATTTAGATGGTTTCAGGCTTGATACTGCGGGGTATCGGCTTCTGATAGAGTTTCGATTTAGGGGCTACGTTTGTGTCATCTCGGCTGACGCAAAAGGGCAGGGACAAGTTCAGGCTGCAGTTTCCGCTGGGCACGAGAAAGATCTGCTGTTGGGTCTGGTTGACGCGGGCCTCTAGCCTAGGCTGCCGCAAAGCTCGCCAAGGTTTTTTCACTTATGCAAGCGGAGTTTGATTTAGGGTCCTGCATACAATACAGTGGCTGAGGTTGGGGTCGTTCGTAAAGTCCGACTGGCTTGGTTGTCTCGCCGGCGCAAGATCTGCATCCGTATCATACACAACCATAGCTCCCTAAATGCCGAAATATGCCCGGCTGTCGGAGCACGATGTTTTTTTGTTGTTTGTTTTTCCGTCGTCGTCAGTGTTTGTGCAACTGGCTGCTGCAATAGAAGCAGCAGCTCTCTAAACCCGAAACTCAAGCAGCCAGAGCCATCCCACACACACAAGGGTAGTTGTCAAAATTAAGGTCCCTTTTTGGGTACCCTAAATAATAGGTGCCGTATTATAATAGGGACCCCAAAAGGGTATACAATTTTGACATCCACCCACAAAAAACGAGCATCATCAGGGGAGGCGGACGGAGCACCATCGCCGGCTCCTTGCTGAACCGTTCATCCTAAACATGCAGACTTACCTCGGGAATGATTGGGTGCACCCTTACTATGGTTTTTGCGCATGGGAGCGTGTGTCGGGTACCTTCTTCTGCAAGGAGTGAGTTTTTTAGGGTTTAGGGTTTCAACAAAACTTCGACGACTCGAAGTCATCATCAATGTCGAAAATGCACAGCCACAAACCGTCAACATCCTGCCCGGATCGCGCAATGCAATGACATACCAGGCACCAAAAGTGCGACAACAAAGGAGCCAACCACCAGAATCAATAAACACCAAGACCCCATACCCACAGGAGCCAACGATGATATAGGGGCCTAACTACCAAGACTATTTGGGGGGGTTCTTTATTAATTATACTTATAGTTTTGTTGCCCCCCAAACCCTATTCTAATTATGAACTGTACTAATCACTTCTGAGACATACCTCGGGGCTGTCTTGGAAGGTGATACTTGGTGATAGCCGGTAACCGTTGTGATTTCGGCTTCGAGGTTTGCTCCCATCAACCTAACCCAAGCCCTTAACCCTAAATCTCAAACCCCAAACCCTAAACCCTAAAACCCACACCCTAAACCCCAAGCCCTAAACCCTATGAACCCTAGACCCCAGCCCTTAGCCCAAGCCCAAACCGTCAGGCGCAGAAGGAGGCCAAAGCTCGGGAGTCTCTCGTGGCTCGGCTGGTGAGATCTATGTGGGTAGTTGTCGAATATTATGGCCCCTTTTTGGGTTCCATGGGTTCCTTAAATATTAGGTGCCGCATTATAATAAGGACTCAAAAAGGGACCATAATTTTGACAACCACCCATGTGCGGCCATGGTTTTGGAGTTTTAGGGCTTTGGGGTTTTAGGGTTTAGGGCCATGATTTTGTCTTGTTTTTAGGGTTTGGGGGTGTAGGGTTTAGAGTGGGGTTTGGAGATGTTGTTATTCTGGGGGATGTTGTAGTAGACATGCGGTCGAACAGGACGTTCCTAGCCCCCCCTAAAAAGTACTCCGAATATGGATGCTGGACCCACACCCTGAACACACACACACACATACACACACACACACGCAGGAGAATGCCAGGAAAAATGAGGCGCACCGACCTTATAGTACCTTTCAAACGAGCCAACCCTGTTCCCTGAACCTTAATCCAATCCTAAACTCAAAACCCCCCTAAACCCTGAACCCTCTAAGCCCGAGATGAGGCCCCACCTTCTAAGGAACCCTTACAAGCCTTACAGTATCCTTTAAACGAGCCCCAAAATCCTATAAACCCGAAACCCTATAAGCCCATATAAGCCCTAAACCCATAGGCCCCCCCCCTTCAACGGAGCCTTTATAGGACCCTTTAAAGGAATCCCCCCAGAAACCCAAAAACAAAGCCTAAACCCTAAACCCTAAACCCCAAACCCTAAACCCTAAACCCTAAACCCTAAACCCTAAACCCCAAGGCTCCCCTCCTTCGGCTCCTACGCGGTCTTCCCAGCGCCTCGGCACCCCGTCGCTCGGCCTTGGCCTCACTGCTTTTGGCCGTGGCGGGCACGGAAAGCTGCAGGCGCCCGGGGGATATGGGTGGTTTAGGGTTTAGGGTTTAGGGTTAGGGGCTTAAAAAGTACCTATAGTATTTTTGGGAGTTCTACAAGGGCCTCAAGAAGTACCTATAATATTTTGGGAGCTCCTTATTATAATTATAGTCGGCGCAAGATCCTAATTAGTTTAATTGTTTCGGTCCTTATAGTATCTTCAATTGGGTCGGGCCCGTAAAGGGATGGGTTTCTAGAACGGTAATTACTATGAATGGGTTTTCCTGCCAGTTCTCTAAATGAGGGTCTCTAGGATTGAGGTAGTTTTGACTCTATATGACGGTCCGTTCTAATTAGGGTCCTTCTTTTGAGGGTGCCATACTAGTTGTGGGACCAAAACAGGACCCTTGAGAGAATTGCCCACATGTGAACAAGATTGCAGATTTTGCTGTGCTTGTTGTTTATGGGAAATTGGGGTTTTAGCGTTCGCGGTTTAGGAGGTTTTGGGTCAAAAATGGGTGTCGCGTCAGGGCTGAAGAGGGTTTTGATCTCAGCAGTTTCGTAAGGATCCATACGGGTTTGGAGGTTTTTTTCTGAGGTGTTCAGGCTTTGGCACTCAGAGTTTCCGTCTCAGTATGTTTTATTTCAGAGTATGGCGGGGGTTATTGCAGCTCACGTTGTCGCTTTCTCGGTTTCGATTTGTCGATTGAAAGCCTCGACCCGAAGCCGCTTAACCCCTAACTATAGTCTCCTTGGGAATCACGCTGTAATAACACACAAGGGGACATTAAACATGAAATTTTTATTATGGTTGTAAGGAATGGAATGCTGTAGTTTTGTTGCTATAAGGCACGAGGGGATATTAGACACAATATTTTTCTTATGGTTGCAAGGGAGGTATATCTACATTCGGAGCCGCTAAATCATTCGACCCTAAACTGGGTTGCGTCTTGTGGCAAGGGTCCAGGTACTTTGATGCGAAGCCCCAGAGCACAATTATTGTGTCCTTCCGACCACTAAAACCATGATAATCCTCTATTTTGGAGCCCCTTAGAGGGCAAACGAAGCCCTTATACAGGGCTTATGCCCCCTAAACCCCTCGACCCCAAAGATCCTACCAGTCTCCATTGTAGTTCCTTTTTGGGGTCACCTCACAGGATCCTTCTTATATATGTGTAAACCAAAAAAAGGAACTACAATGGAGACTATAGGTAGACCCTAAACCCTAAACTAAAAGATCTGGAAGGATGGCTGCTGACTGCTTGAATGCAATCCGAACCTCGGCCTGGTCGCAGCTTTAGGATCCACGTTTTAGGGTTTAGGGTTTAGTTTTAGGGTTTGGGGTTAAGGATGTAGGGTTTAGGGTATGTTTAGGCTGTAAGATCGAGGGTATTTTTGGGCTTCGGGTGCTGGCTTCGGAAATTGGGTTTCGTGGTTTAGGGTCTAGGCTGTAGGATGTAACGTAGACTGTAGACTTCATTCCAACTCTTACTAACCTGCAGCCCCAAGCCTATCTGTCAGACCTTCTTAGCGAACTCCCAACACGGGTGGCTCGTGTACTTGATGAGCAACGGATTGCCTGACGTGGTGCTCACCACAGTCGATTCCTGATCTGCCCGAAACAGAGATGGAACCAGACCCCAAACCCTATGGCAGGCGGCCTTAAAAGATACCAGTACTATTTTGGGGGTCCTTATATTTTTTTGGTATAATATACCCAAAAAATCTATTCTGATTTATGAAGGCGCCTACATTACCTGAGCTGCTCTCTGCTTCTGGCCCTACAGCGTGAGACCTGATTTTCTCGATACGTTGTTGTGCGGAACGCGCCCTGTGGCGCCGGCAAACGGTCGCGAGGTTCATAGTTTGTGGTTCCTTTCGTACCGATACCGCCACGGCTGACCTGTGCATATGCTTGTAACTGCTCGCTTGGATTCCATGTTTTTCTCACGACTTCCAAACTTTGTATGTGCACTACCTGTATTGGAGCTATCAACTCTAAACCCTGAAGTCTGAACGCTTCTTCTGAGTTTAGTGCTTAGGTTTTGCGGTAGACTCTCAACCGTAAACACCCTATAGTAGGAGGCTCGAGCAGTTCGTCTTAACGGACAGTATATGGCAAACCCGAAATATACTTAAAATGGAGAGTCCATTTTTAAGAGCTACTGGCTTTAGACCTTATCAGGTATGGGGTTCAGGGTTTTGCAGGGTTTCAGGTTCGCTCCCAGTGCAATATGCTAGAGCTTCGGGGTTGGGGTAAGTGTATTTTCATACCGAGACAGGGTACTACCCTAAGGCCCCAAAGTAGTTCCTTTTTGGGGTTCATATAAAGAATGCTATAATGTACTCCCAAAAAGGAACTACTACGGAGCCTCTAGGTAGAACCCTGAATCCTAAGCCCCTAAATCCTAAGCCCAAGGCCACTTGCAACCCCTGACCTGGAGCGATGGCGCCATCGCTTCTTGGGTTTGGACTCCATTTCTTCAGCCTGCGTCTTGCGTGGTTCGGGGCTCACCTACGTAGGTACTAGTACCTACTTACTTTGGGGTCGAAAGTCTATAAGTAGAGCCTACCCCCTTAGAGGCTAGAGCCCAATTTGGAGAACCAGGTTTAGGATTAGGTTGGCATTTCAGGGCTATGGGGCGGTGCGCGGAGTTCCGAACCCAAAAACCTTGAACCCTAAACAAACAGTGCAGAGCTTGATGCATAAACTTCCCTTGTCTTCGCAGGCCTGAGTTTTCGCATCTCCATTACAATCGTTTTTGAGGTAGGTTAGCTTTTCAATCACGGGGTCTAGATTTCAGTACAACCCTACGACGAAGGGCCTTTAATCTTTGTGGCTTTCATGCCGCTCGATCGGGTAGTGCCCCCACTCTGTAACAGCTAGGTAGATGTAGTTAGATAGTACCTACAGACCTACAGCCCTTAATGTGACCCCTAACTTAGACTGTTACATGTTACAGCAGTGTGTGGGGGGTACGAGCTTCCGGACTCAGGGAACTTGCGGGTTGCTTCGCATGGTCTCTTGGGCCCTAAGCTGCCAGGGCTGCAAAGCTTTGTAGTGTACTGCTTAGGGTTTAGGGCTTGGGGCTTGCATTCCACTCTCCTTTTTTTCCGCCTAGAGTTTAAGCTTCTGTGTCTAGGATTTGCTAGCTTGAGGTCCAGGTTTCAGGTTCTAAGGGCTTCAGGTTTAGCCGAGACATATCTGAGACCGAGGGACGGCACTTGCCATACCATAGAATCACAGAAGCTGCCAGCCCTACGCTAAAACCTGGATCGTGCTTCAGAAAAGTTAACTCCAACTCTAGGGGTCCATGCCGCCGCATCGTCTTATTTCCCCTCTTGATTTCCTCGTTGCTTTTGCTTGGTCTGTTGGTTACCTAACAACCCCTCCAGCAGAAACTTAACACTCCTTGCGCCTCGGCGTAGCTTCCGAAACTGAAACCTCTAAGCCTAAAACCAGCATCCCAGTTCAGGGGGTCTGCACAGATTCGTCGAGCAAGTCCGATTGTAGCAGAAGAGATACGGTTTATGGAATAAATAGGCTTTAGTATCCAGGGTACAAGTCTTGGGTTTTAGGGTTTTTCTTTGAGCTGAGTCGCAGCGCCCTTCCTCTGCCGTTCCCCTTTCTTTCTGCCCTTCCCCCTGACCTCAGGGTTTAGGGTTTAGGGCTTTAAGGTTTAAGGTTCTGGGGTTAGGGTTTAGGGTCCAATCAGAGTGACATACCCAAACGCCCCATAGTAGTTCCTTATTGGGATTACCTTATAGGATTCTATATAAGAACCCCAAAAAGGAACTGCTTTGGGGCCTCAGGGTAGGCCCTAAACCGTTTCGCTTGCCTTGCTGGGACCCCCTCTCGAACGGTCTCTGCCGTCACGATGCCTTGACTGCCGTGCCATGACTCTGCAAGCATATAAAACCTAAACCCTCAACCCCTAAACCCTGAACCCTAAGCCCTAACCCCAAACCCCAAACCCGAAACCCTAAACTCAAAGAAACTTCAAACCCAAAGCCCCACAACCCTAAACCGGAACTACAATCGGGCTGTGATGGCTAGACTAGTGCAGTCGCAAAAAGGCCCTCAACAAAAAAAACGGAACTACAGAGCTCTGCGCCGGCATCTCTGCCCCTCGGTGACATAAAGGGAACTCCAGAAAGTTGGAATATGGTTTCATGGTAGGATACCTTATAATTTACCATAGAAGGGCTAGGATAATCATATTCCAACTTTCTGGCTTCTACCTTAGATCCTCAAACAGTCTCCCAAACACCACATGCCGGACACAAAAATCGAACCCTCAAAGTTTAAACCCCAACGCGCGAAGCCCTCTAAAGCCATAGGGTTTAGGGTTTGGCGGTTTAGGGTTTAGGGTAATATGTAGGTAGCTGTTGGATCTAGCATCCTACTTGTTTTACTATCTAGGTGCCGAAGATCCTTTGGGTACTATAGGGGCCTTAATAATTAGAATATGGTTTGGGGATATATTATATACTATAATATTACATGAAGGCCCCCCCCCCCCCAAACAAAAAAAAAAACCGCTATCCAAATTATTAAGCCGCCTCAACCCGAAACCCTCCACTAAGGCTTGTCTCCGGCGCTTGGGTCACCTCGCATCTGGAACGCCTGGCGGTGCACCCGCGTTGGCCGCGGCGGATGGGACGCAAAGTCTTCCTTTCTGATAGAGTCGAAGAGAGGAGGTCTCACTAATTACAGTTAGCATAATGTCCACTCTAGCATCGGCCAGAAATACTTACATAGGTATATATGCGGTCATATAGCCTGCCATTCGGCAAGTGAACCTAACCCGAAAGCCGCCCCAAAGTCGGGCTACCTGCCAGGTTGTGACGCTGCAGCTTTCTTGCGATCCGGCTCTCGTAGCTTTCGACAGGCACGATTCCGTTCACAAGTTGTCCCCTGTTTTTGTTTGTCTTGGGGGTCCACGTGGAGCTGTAATCAGATTTCATTCGGCTTCGGTATCTTGCATTCTCGATGCTCACTTTAGTCAAGACATTCAAGAAGGCTTTAAGTTCAAGCTTCCAACCGTTGAGCTAAGTTAATTAAGCTGCATACTGTTTATTCATTAATTAATGATATAAAGAAATGTGAATTAACATTTGAGAATATTAAGAATAAAGATCTGTTTCAATGTTGAGGATGTGTGTAACCTGGAGATCTGCAATTCGGACTTTGTCGTTTTGGTGCTTCATGACAGCGATTTCAATGCACTTGCGGGTTTCTACATAGGGTTCATGGGAAGTTCCGATGTTTTGGGTTCCGCGTCTCGGTCTTTATGGTGCAAGGTTATCGTTTGTGTCCACTTGTGAAGCCAAGATATGGGTTAGATTCAGCGGTTTGCGACGGAAAGGGCGCTATGCTTGATCAGAGACGTGTCTTTCTGTAGACGTTCGCATGAAGTTTAGCTTGGATCCCTCGGATGCTTGGAGCCGAGGCTTGCGGAGCAGGGGATACAGAAGAAGAGCTCCGTGTGTTTGTACGTCAGGACATAAACGTCGATTCATGGAGGTCTTTTTGAAGGCTTTATGTCAAAGTGTAAACTGTATGGGTACGTGGACCGTGGAGGTACGCAAGTGCAAAATTCAAGGGTCGATCTAGCAGATCTAGCATTCAGTGGAGTTGGCGAAGGGCCGAACAGAGAAGGACTTGAAGATGGAGCAGAACCTTCAGAACTATGAGGATGCCGACGTCGCCCACAAGGATCAGGAGAATCCAAGAAGAGACTGGAGGGGACAATCTCTTGAGGAGATTGCTCGGTTGACAAGAAGCCACACTAACACTAAGGAGTTGGCACGGCGGCAGGGCACTGGAAGGTCTGAGAGCAAAGAAGCAACAAACTTCTCAGAAGGAAACATGTCCTCCATGGGATGCTGGAGGAGATCCAATACCTTTCACACGAGGTTTTGTTTAAAAAAGGGTTAAGGGTACATCGACCCCTCAGTGCAAGAGAGGGAGGCACTGGGGGCAGCCATTCTATCTCCGAACCCTAACCTAGCAAGCACGGAAGGCCAGCACAAATCAAGCTATCTTCGTGATCCAACTTCTTGGCCTCTGTTCCAGCCCCAAGCCCAGAAAAATCGAACGCACGTCCTTATTTTGGGGTCCTTATAAGGATCCTACTATTTAGAGTACTATATTAGGGTCCCCCATTCTGGACCCCTGAATCTCGGTACCGTTCGGTTGGAGAACTTGTGGCATGGTAAGGATCCCCAAAGTAGTTCCTTTCTGGGGTTCATATATAGAGTCCTATAAGGTAATCCCAAAAAGGAACTACTTTGGGGCCTATGGGTAGACTAAACCGTGGACAGCATGTATATCTAGAAAATCCGTTAAATCCTTTAGAACAAGATGAGGCCCAGAATCACCATGTAACTCCCTACTTTATGAGGGCCCAAACCCAAAGGACCTTACAACTGTGTACTTGGATTCAGGATGGTAACCTTGTAGGTATTGTAGGTGAGTATTTGGGAAGTACTGTTGCGCACTTGGACCCTTAGGGCCTTCGGATCACAGCCCTGAGTACCACGGCCGCACCTGATAATCCCAAGCAATCATCTTCAGGACGTTGGCCAGGCGAGCAACAGAGGCCTTCCCAAAGTTCTACCTTGTCAATCGGTGCTATGGGGTCCTTACAGTTTCATTCAATTGGGTTACCCTAAACCCTAAACCCTAAACCCAGAGCCGTGATTTGGGAGGTTCTGGTTGCTAGGTCTTCCAGAATCCTGGTTCTGCTTTTTGAGATTGGGCTCTCCTGAGTAGCATCTAGAAGGTACCCTTACTTGTCCTATAAATGGGTGACTGGGTGGGAGTATTGCAGATGCAGGGTTTCGAGGTTAAGGCAGATGGCAGGCTCGTTACAATTGTTGTTTAGCGTGAGGGTATCGAGCAGGATCGGGTAGCATGGGCTTTTTGAGCGTCTCAATACAGAGTATTCAAACTGTGACCCGTAGGATTAGTTGTACTCTGTTCTACCGCAACAGCGCTATTCCAGTCAACATAGCCTGCGAGTCTTCGAGCTTGGGGATCGAACTGGTCTCGCTTTCTGTGGCACTGTTCCTGAGTTAACCGGGAGTGTGCCTTGAATTCCCAGATTAAGTTAAACCATTCGAAAGTGTCTTAAGAGAAGTGTATGATATCACTAAATGTTTCTACACGCGTAAAGTGCTTGGAAGCCCCGGTTTGTGACTTCATGTGTTGTGTTTTGCTTCTATGGCCGTTTCGAATGGCTGGCAAGGAACTGGTGGGTGGGTGCAAGAACAGCCCAGTTTGGTCATGCATTGAACTACGGGGCACCCGAATCGAAAGGCCTTATATACCGCCCTTCGGGTTGGGTTTAGGCTTGTGCTTCAAGTCGGTATGACTGCCTGGACATTGATTGGATTTGTGCCGCATGTGTGTCTGTGTGTCTTCCAGGACTGACCTGCTCTTGTACCACCTTACTTATAGAGTCTTCGTGCAACGTGCAGGGCGATTGGAAGAAGACCCGTCTCTAGGTAAGCGTGTGCTCAAGGAACGCACACCCTAAACCCTAAACCCCTAAACCCTAAACCCCGACGGAGAGTCTATGTGTTGCTTACGATGAACGAGATGGCTACGAAGCTGGGCGAGCATAGAGCTGTTCCAGCTCGCATTCGCATGTACTGTATGTCTGTTGCAATAAACCCAGCCTTAAACTTAAATCCTGAAATCCTGAAACCTCTAAGCCCCTTAAGACCTAAACCCGTAAACCCTTAAGCCCCTTAGGACCTAAACCCGTAAACCCTTAAGCCCCTTAAGACCTAACCCGTAAACCCTTCAGCCCCTTAAGAGCTAAACCCGTAAACCCTGAGCTCTTGGCCGCAGATGCCCTGCTTCGTGACTGCGCGCGGGGCTGCTTTGCTTCGCGATGCATCTGTGGCCGTGGCGCTGGAGGAGGTAAGGATTGCAGTCGAGGGTTTAAGGATGGATTTTGTTTAGGGTTTAGGGTTATAGGGTTATGTTCAGGAATATTCCTTTATGGATTTGCCTGTTCACTGTTTTGGGTTGAGGGGTTTAGGGTTGCAGGGCTGTGAGAGGCCTCTGGGTTGAGGGTTTGGGATCTTACGCTCAGGATCTACAGTCTATCGGGAATCGTAGGGCTTTTTGTGTATTCCGGCTGTAGCTCCGGATGTTTGGCCTTGCGAAAGGATCGAAGCCACAGTTCTTTTACGCTGCAACTCATGTCCTAGGCTTCTAAGATTCTAACTTGACACATGCTGCAGAGACTGAGACTGTACAAGCCATAATGGTAACTGCTCTTAGAAAAGATCCACAATTCCTAGAAAAGGCAGGAGTCTGTCCACCAGCCGTCACTCCTACGATAGACACAACATTCGGTACCTGCACGCGTTGAAAGTGTCCTGTGGGTCGCAACCGCTATTTTTAACCCGCAAACCTATAATCCTTCAACCCTGAAATCCCGACACCCTAAAACCTTCATTAAATTTTTTTAAAAAATTTTCAGGGCGTGAACAGGGCCAAAATCTCAAAACCTATAAGGCCCTCAAAGCCCAAAACAAACAAGACCTCAAGCCCAAGACCCCAACACCTTAAATTTCCAGGCCATGGTCGGCACCGAAACACTGGAGGAGGGAGCCAGGGTTTAGGGTGTTTGCTTTGGGGTTCAGTGTGTGGGTGCTATACGGTATACGGTTGAAGCTTCGTTTGCTGGTCGCGACAGTAAGGGGTTCTCAAAGACTCATGCAGTCCCTAGCAGTATGATGTGTGGCGATTCTTATGCGATTTTCCACAATGCTGCAGGGGCTTCTTGCAGGGTGTTAGGATTCAGAGATGGCTGCCTAGGAAATATGGAACTTAAAGGATGCGAACATATGCATGAGCTGCTGCATCTAACCTTTGAAGTTCATGGCGCGTAGTATAGGCAATCACTCCGGATGGTCTAGGGTTTGCGATCGAGGCTTCAGGGCTTACGTAGGGGTTGGAAGAATTCATGTATGATCCTGCCGCAGCCCCTGTATATATATTTCCGCAGTATAACAATGCAAAAATCCTCATCGCCGTCGTCATCGTCATGATCAGTGGTATCATCAACCTCCTCATCATCATCGTCATCATCATCACTGCCGTGATCATCACAACTGTCGTCATAATCATCATAATCGTCACACTCATGTGCTTATTTCTGCTATTACTATTGTTGGTATGATTGTGGTTATCACTGATCTCATTAGTTTTCATGTTTTGGCTTCTTCTTCTTCCTAGTCATCCTGGGTTTAATAGCAGTCACTTCATTTCCTCATTATTCTTGTCACAGTCATCATGCTCAGCTCGTAGGCGACAATCATCGGCGAATGAAATCTCCCAATAGGTGAGTGTGTTCAGCCCTGCTAACATGCAACGCATGTGAGGTACTCCGAAAACTTTTGGACCCGGCAATCCGTGTTCAATGGAGAGAGCCCTGTGCCCGTCCAGTGTGGGTCAGTGTTCAGGTAGGTATTAGCAAGAAACTTCTACACGGCCAAAATGCCGAAACATGCCGATGGAGATCTGTGGAAGCCCCCTTAACCCATAAACCCGGCATGCTAAAGGCCCCACTCAGAATCTGTGGAGAGGTCCCCTGTGCTGTTCGCATTCTTCTGGGGAGAAGCACACCCAAGAACGGCTGTGCTTCCCTCGGCTGTTGCTAATTTTACCGGATCTGCCCTGCGAGCACTCCCGCTTTTATTGAGGCTTTAGACTGCAATGACATATGGTTTGTCTTACCTTAGGGCTGCAGCTGCCTGAATGATAGCTTAATCTCGGTAATCTCGGTACATATTAATAAGGGTGAGTCTGGAACACTTAGAACCACTTAGAGTGACCACGGAGGAGGACGTTTTTCAAGACCAGCTCAGTCAGCCTAGGCGTCCATGTACCTATATCTTATATACTTTGGCCTTGGAATACTTAGTTTGGAACCGCACAGGTCCACCGAGGATTATGGTCAGCAAGTCTCCTACTGTCCAGGCTGGTGAACAGGGAGGACACTGTCCAGCGCATCCGTCTTGACCCATCCACAAGCCGGACCGTCCTCACGTCGAGATAACCTGGGTTCGTCCACCACACAGGGAGTTTGGGTTTGGGTTCCAGGATTTGCAAGCCAAGCATATCCCCAGTCAGAGTTATCCAACGCGGTGGTGATGGGAGAAGTTTGCTGACGACTCACAGTTCGGAAATAGATCTGCTCTATCTACATTTACCCAAGCCACGCCAAGCTCTCTGCACCCTCTCTCCTCCCTGCAACCCAAAGCCCTACAAAATATGACCCCAAGTCCAGTAGCTGCTGTGGACGCGCCGATGTTTCAGTTGAAGTTTAGGGCTAGAAACCTCAGAAACCTAACCCGGCAATCCTACCTCTACCTGCCAAGCCCCAACCCTACTGTACCTGCTGAATCCCAACTCCCAAAGCCACAGGAATTTAGCATGACGGAGCTGACTAAATACCGTTGAATTACCTCGGAACCTTAGCCTCCAAACCCTAAGACCCTAAAACTCCAAAGCCCGCACCCTCGAACTTGATTGTCCTTTAACTCAGTATGGCTGTGCTCGCCGAGGTGGTGTACTGCTAGGCCTCGTTGGCGCAGATGGCGGTGATTGGCCGGGGCCCTTCTCTGTGTAATTTGGTTTAAGGGTTTCGGGGTTTGGAGTTTCGAGCGTTATAGTTTCGGGGTCGAGGCTTGAATCCTCCAAGCCCCAAACTCGAAGCCCAAAGCCAGAATCGAGGGATTTCAGAGTGGCTTACACTTCCTTGTCCAACGGCAGCGTGTTCTGCATTTGCCAGTCATTGAGTTGCTCAAGATTTTTGTATGGTAGTAGATTTAGATTACATTGTATACATCATCTTGTACTGAAACATCTGCTCTGCCTGATCTAGATGGATACCTGGACCCTTGAGGTTATCTTATGTTAGTTTTTGCTAGGTGCTTTTGTAAGTTGCAAGCAGAGCCTCCTTCTTGGCCTCTGTTTGGGTCGGTGAAGATCGGAGGATCTGCGTTGGCTGCCTTGTCCTTGGGGGTTGCTTTGCATGATACGACTTCCGGGGGATACTCAAGTAGAAGCTAGAAAGTCGGCGTCCTGTTCGTGATGCCGGTCAAGTGACCTGCAGCAGCGATACATGTTCAACTGTCTGGAGTAATGGAGTGTTCGCTCCCCCTCAGGCGGGCGGAGTGGCCCCAAACAGAATTTAGTCTATGACTATGACCAAATTTGGGCTTAGGTAGGATAAACCCCGACCCGAACCCCTCAAGCCCTACAGTGCTGAGGTGGCAGCAGCTGAACGAAGAGCCGCTGCCCTTTCTATTGCCCGGGCAAGCGCTGACCCTCACATTGAGGCCCTGTTCGGAGCCCGAATGCGGAAGTTTCTGATGGTCCTAGAGATGCGATTTAGGCATTAGGGGCTGTACTAGAGCAGCCTGTGTTCTGAAACGCGTATGTATATATATATATATATATGTATTAGATAATATAATTACATACATATGCAGTCTCCACCGTATCGTTGAGTGTAGAATCCCTCACTGCCTCATGGCCTCATCTGCATGTTCACTATTCCATCTTATCCCGCCCCTACGTTGCAAGCGTAAGTTCCCCCGCAGCGTCATGCTCAGCCAAGCCACCTAGTCCCAGAATAAAACCCTAAACTCTAAACCTAATCCCTAGTCCCCCAGTTCCGGAATAAGAATTATATAAACCTTCAGTCGGAGACCCCCCCTAAACCCTACACCCTACCTTAACTCGCCCGGCATCGCGCTCTTCTGTCCCAGAGTCGTGACGTGTGAAGACACAGAATCCCCAAAGCCATGCAAAAGACGCAACACCAGGCCTCAAAACCTGAAACCTTCAGCCGGAATCCTACATCCTAGCCTACATCTCGGAATTCTAAACCCAAACCTAAATCCTGAAAGCCTCGTCTCCAAAAGCCCAGAAGCCTCATGCGTCTTAGCCTAGCTTTCGAGGCCAAAATAACTACTGTTGATGATATAAATCCTGCATTACCTTAAGGGCCCTAAACTATGGGAATTATGGTATATTCCTTATTATGGGTAATGCAGGATTTATATCATCAACCGTACCTATACTATTTTGGGTCTCCTTCTTATGGTATTTATAGTATTAGTGGGCCCCAAAACCCTATTCTACGGCCCCTACATCCTTAAATCCACTATAGTACCCCATTATCGCATCCCTTAAAGGAACCCTTTTAAATTAAAGGACGCCTATTCTAATCCTCTAGGCCGTTACATTAGGCATAATATACCTCAAAAACCCTAAACCGCAAAGCCCCAAACCCCTGAACCCCAAAAGCCTAAACTCTAAACCTCTAAGAGACGGATTCTGCGGCGGCCCTTAGTGCAATCCTCTTAAGAGGGAGACCTGTCGCTGCGGAGAAAGGTCATTGCATGTTAAAAAAACCAACCTCTGATTGCTAAAGTAGGTAGTATTATTAGGAAGACCCCTTAAAGGGTACCCCTTCTGAACCCCACTTCTGGCTCTCTTAAAAGGGGCTTTATTGAGAGGGTCTATATCCCCAAGGGTCCCCCTAATCCAAACTCCCACTACATGAGCCGAGCCCCGGAGGCCTTGCCCGCAGATGGATCTGCTCTTACTCGAGCTCTCCCGGGAGCCGGGGAAGTTCTCAGGACCCTGGTTAGGGTTTTGGGGTTTTGGTTTTGGGGTTTAGGTGTTTAGGGTTTAGGGTTTTTTTGGGGGTTTCCGGGTTTAGGGTTCAGGGTTTTGGGGTTCAGGGTTTAAGGGTTTCTCAGGACCCTTGGAGGTCTGGAGTTTAAGGGCTTTTGAGCCCTAGACCCTTCAGGGTTTGAGGCTTTAGGGCTTATAGCGCACCGGGGACAGTTTGGAAGATTTCGGTCTTCAAGCCCAAGCCCTATAGACTACTATAGACAAACACAACCTACACCAGGTATGGCATGTGGCTTAGAAGGGGCCCCCACCCTGTAATAGTGACTCTAAGGATTATATTAGGGCCCTACTATATTCCTATTATACCACTATTACAGGGTGGGGGCCCCTTCTAACATATGGCTTGGGTTCCATTTAGAAGCTTTAATACTTGGAACAGGTGGTTTATTGCGTGGAACCAACTATAGGGTCAGTGAGGAGGCTTCGTATTGCTAATTAATCAGGCCCCTATAGCAAGGCTAGTTGCGACTCTTGGGCCAAAACGGGTGTGCTTCCGGGTTTAAGAGGCTGGTTGAGGTTCTTGCGTGCCATCACTTCTTTGTGGGCCTGTGTTGGCGTCCTCATTCGCAACAGAAACGCTTGGGTCTGGGTCTAGTTGCTTGGGGTTTAGGGTTTCAGACGTTTTGCGGTTCGTATTGCGACTTGAGGCACTTGGCACGGCGCAGGAGCAGTAATGAACGACTTTACTACGAAGAAGCCTTAACGGTTGTCTCTGAGTTTCAGACAATTAGGGGGTTGGATTCAGGGTTCAACGCTTCGGAGTTTTGCATTTCGCTTCGTGTGTAACCCAGTAGTCCATTGTATGCCTCGTTCCATGTGTTCGACATGGTTGACGAACTGGCCACAGAAGCAACGTGGCAAGTATGTGCAGAGGCTGAAAACAACGAGTCGCAAATAAATGAAAAGAGTTGGAAGCGCTAATAGTAATGTGAGGGCCCAATGACTGTAACAGGGTGTTAGGCCGTGGCGTATACTCGAGTAGACTCCTCGTATGATATAGCATGCTAGACTAATGCGACTGAGAAGGATGTTACGGTTGATGATATGAATCCTGCATTACCCATAATAAGGAATATGCCACAATTCCCATTGTTTAGGGTCCTTAAGGTAATGCAGGATTCATATGTCATATCATCAACCGTAGCAGTGATTAGTCCGACCCCTCAGCACACCCGAGGCCTCGGCACCGGATGCTGCAGACATTACCTAGGCTCCAAAGTAGTTCCTTTTCGGGGGATCATATTTAGAATCCTATAATGTAACCCCAAAAAGGAAATACTACGGAGCCTCTAGGTAAGACCTGCTAAATGCAAGAAATCCCCAACCGTCGCCAAACCCCAAAGCATAGAAGTTGCGCACGTGAACTTGCTCTAGCCTCGTTGGCCCACGTTTTCCATTTCTATCCACCCATCTATCTATGTTACTTTTGCTTGATTATAGCTATACATACACACCTATTCTAACCCCAACACAGCCCAAATTAGACACAGTTTTCGGATTCAAATGTCGCCGTATTTTTGTTGTGGAGTGTTGTCGCAATTCTACCAGACCGTAAAGGGAAGGAAAAGCTCAGACCCATGCTAGGCATAGTCTAATCTGCTACACTATACTGTTCATGAATGATGCTAAATCTATCCTACTATCTATCTTCCTTTCTATCTACACATATACATATTAATCCATACTATACTACAATATGCCAGCTGCGTCTGATCGTCTGATCTTTTGAGGACGGCAAGCCGGTCCAGTGTTGGAGGTGCAGAGAACAGGGCTTAAACCAAGGATTTCCTGTAAGAGTTGCTACTGTGGAGGATGTAGGGTTTCGGGCTTAGGGCTGCTATGGAAGGTTCAGAGTTTAGGGCTGCGACTATGGAGGGTTTAGGGTCTTGAGGCCCAAACAATTACCAGTATTATTCCTTAGGGTTCCTTACTACTCCAAGTATACTATAGAGGAGCCAAGCGAGAACCCCTAAACCCTAGGCCTAAACCCCAAACCCTACGCCGTGTATCTGACAACGGCCCTAAGCTGTTTGACTTTGGCCTTCAAGCTTATGGGTAGAAGTTGTCGTTGGCACAAGTTGTTCTTGTCTATGTTCTTCTCCTGTCCCGACATGCCAAAACCGCATCGGTTTTCGGCTTGCCAGACCTGCGGTGCAGAAGAGGATTTAGGCTGTAAGGTCTTGGTGTCCTTGAGAACGTTTACAGTAAGGCTTGGGTTTTAGGGTTCGGGGTTCCAGGTTGTGCGGGGTTCAGGACGGATGCATGATCAATTCTCAGGTCAGGATGTGCGGTTGCGATGCAGGTGCGTACATGTTGACGTTTGCAGCATTTCGACTGGTTTGTACCCGGCCTGCAACGGAAGAGAAAGGAGTCCGAACACGCCCCTGCACTGTAATGATTCGTCCTTTCGACCGCGGGCAGCGAACGACGGCAACACTTTCAATGGCATTTGGTGGTTTACGAGCCTTACATAGTGGTCCGGTTCATAAAGAATACAGCCAATTGTAGTCCTTGTATCACTATACTAGAGTACACCCCGCAACCTGATTCTAGTTCTTTCAGGCTTCCCATATTCAGCCCACAGCCCTATAAGGTCTAGGTGGGGTTCGTGAACAGCCGTGATCCTTTTCTACACACTCACGAGGCAAGATAAGCATCCCAAAATCCCACCCCGCCTCCAAAGCCTTGAGGGTTTTTGGTTTTTGGGGGGGTGACTGGACCGTTTTAGGATTCCATGCTGCTGTAGCAGGGTGTGTAGAGACCGAGACTCAGACACTCTTGAAGTTGGGACTACTTGTTCACACTACATGAGTCGTTCTTCAAAATTCGAGGTCCCCTCTTGAAGGTTCTGAGAACGAGGGCCCTATAAGTAAGAATCTACAATGGGCATCTCGTCATTGTTTCAGAAATACACTCTTTAATTCGCACCATTTTTTTGAATCCTATTTGAAACGCCAAAATCGATGGAAGAGTCATACTAAGCACCAGCGCCTACTGACACTGTAGTTCTCTGGGTACCTACCGTAGGCACAGCTTCCGCTTCGCCTGCCTCGGCTTCGGTTGCGCCTGGCTCGTGGTGCGACCGTGGCGCTGTCTGCACCGACAGACGCGGTGCAGTTCTTACAAGGGCTACAAAGGGCTACAACGGGTCATGTTCTGCTGTTTTCTGAGTTACTGAGTTTCGGCGTAAATCCTAGACCCTCGCCAAAAATCCTAAACATTTACAAAATTGTTGGGTTCAGAACTCGTACGAAACGTCATGAACTAGGTGTTGTACTGGGGTAGCCGGTGATTTCAAAAAAGACTGTCGTATTTTCAGAATCTGGGATTTCAGGTTTGCGTGTTGGAAATCAGGAAAGTTGCGGATCATAGAAAGAAAACAACCCTGTGGCTCCACCTGCATCACTCCCCGTGGCAACCCGCTGTAAGCAGCACTAGATTCAGGTGCCGGGCACAGCCTTGTCGGCAGCCAGGACGTTGTGTTGTTCGAGATAGTGTCCAGAGTTAAGGATTTACCTGGGGTCTCCAGTGTAGTGCCTTTTTGGGGTTATCTCATAGGATCCTGAACATAAAACTGGTTAAACCAACAAAAGGTACTACAATGGAGACTAGAGATAGAGATGGCAAAATATTTGCAGACTTTCGGGTTAGTGACTTTTTCCGGGGCTGAAGGTTTTCAGCATGTGCACTGGAGACATTGCAACAGCACCATTCCCCAAAGCTCGTGCATGCATTCCTCAACTGAAGCTAAAGCAAGTGAAGACGCTTGGAACATGCAACGACATGAACTTGACACTCGCATCGTGCAGCCATTTCGGTAACGAAAGCCCGCACATACTCAACCACTTGTGATCAGCAAAGGGGACTCACATGTTCACTTCGTAACATTGGCCTCTGTCTCCCTTCCTCTGTCCCTCTCTCTTTCTCTCTGTTTCTGACTCTCTCTCTCTCTCTCTTTCTGTCGCTCCCTCCCTCTCCGTCTCTCTCCAACTCTCTTTGTCTCTCTCTCTCTCTCTCTCTCCCACTGTCTCTCGCTCCCCCTCTGTCTGTATGAACATCAAAGCGACCTTGCACCAGCATCCAGATGATCTGTCGCCGTAGGACGCTCGTTGATGCCAACCTCCTCCCCTTGAGCCAAGATGTGCCTCGTCAGCAGAAAGATTTGCCCCTTTCCCAGCAATAGTTGTTTTTGCCCATGTCAGGCTGCACCCAAACCCTAAACCCTAAACCCTAAACCCTAAACCTTTAGGTGCTTAAGGTCCAGGGTTCAGGGCGGTTGAAGTGGTTCTCTGCGCCCTCAAGCCTAAACCGCTTCAATCTACGACCCTAAGCGGTCTTGGTCGGTTAAAGTTACTCTAGTTGTGAGAGTTGGGAGGGCCTTGTCAGCTTGATGCCTCAAGGACCATATAAGCCGTAGAACGAACCAAGGCACATAGGGGTTTCATTAACTAGAAGAGGGTCTTGGGGTATGCTCTATACTGTAGCTACATTGGGCTAGAAAGGGATACTAGTACCAGCTAAGCTGACTTCTACATTATAGCATTCCGTACCCTACCCCATGTTTTGTTGTTTTGTTGGGCATCTGAGTCTTGGTCAGTTTCGAAGTGTTTCACAAAAAACACGGCTTGAGGACAACTTGAGCATGTGCAATGTTGATACCGGGAGATATTTCAAGGATCGGTAGAGGGTTTCAGAGCTTAGGGTTTAGGGATCATTTTGCCAAAAGGGTCCAAGGGATGCAATTATGAGATACTTGGGTCTAGTAGGGTAGTAGTGTTCTAGGTTATGAGTTGCGGAGTATTTTTCGGCACCTGGACAGGTGTTTCGTGGTTCTACACAAGGCCCAAGGTCTGCACAGTAGGTATTCGGAACGACAGGCAAGACCTTAAATTGTCACCCTAAACCCGATTTTGTTCCTTTCATCTTTGTGACCCTTTCCGCTCAGGAGGAGTCGAAAGGACATGCCTACAGCAGCTTTGCTGAATCATTCAAGGTCTCCGGTTTAGGTTTTTGTTCGTCGGGGATGTTTAGTCCTGGGGTTTGATATGGGATTCAGCGTCCCAAACCCTCAACCACTACCCTAAATTACCCCATGCCCTAAACCCTAAATACCCTGAAACCTAAACCCTAAATACCCTAAACCCTGCACCCCATGCATCGAGTCCTAAGTGCGGGCGCAGCATCCAAAAGCCTTGATTGAAATTCTCGAAGAGCCCTGCAGCCTGAACTTGAAAAGTCAAAAGCTGATGCCCTTATGGTCCTTAAAATGCTTAGTACCATCATATGGGAGTCCCCGAAAATTGGGGGTACCTTATTTTAGGGGTCCTTTTATTAAGGATCCTAATATCTGGGGTATTTACTATATTAGGCTCCCCTATTTTCGGAAACTCCCATATAGCACCAACACCCTACTGGATTATGAAGGCCTTCTATTAGCCCTAGGAATGGCACCAGTCAGCGCGAGTTTCCAGCTTCGGCGCCCCCTTTTGGCGGCAGCCTGGGTCGAGTGGCTCCAACAACAGGTCGGACCTCTTGTCGATCTAGGGTTATAGGGTTTAGAGTTTTGGAGTTTTAGGGTTTAGTGTTTCGGGTTCAGGGGTTTAGGGCTAGGGCCTTGACAGGTGGGTTTTTCAGGGTCCAGGCTGGGTTTGAGGACGCTTACATCAACATAGATTTTCAACCAGCAATGTATAGGTGTATTATTGGGGTCAAGTGTTGTCGGTTTCTTCTTGATGGCTCACGGCGTGTGCAGGTATGAAGTGCAACTTAGGCAGGGACTGTTTATGATGATTGCCTGGACCCCAAAAGTATGTAGAATAATAGCCTTTTAGGGGAATTGGGCCATTATTTTACATACTTTGGGGGGGGTTAGGTGGTGGTCGATACCAGCTTTTACCGCTACTCAACTTGTTTGGAGCTTTCGGAGCAGTGCAAAACCTGTCGGCCAAAGGACTCACCGGCAGACCGAAACTTTGGCGAGTACTGAACTACCTAGTATAAGTAGAGTAGGTAACCTTTAACTTTTTTGGGTAGTATAGTCCCTATATAATCTCTATATACCCAAAAAGGTTAACCTTTAGTTCCCCATGATACCCGACAAGTAGGACTAGGAGTGTAGAACTGCAGGGACTGACCAGGCACTTACACCTGAGCAGCTCATCAGGCGGACTTAGGGTTTTAGGGTTTTGTGTTTAGGGCTTTGTGTTTAGGGCTTTAGGCTTAGAGCTTTGGGTTTAGGGCTTTGGGTTTTGGGCTTCGACCGCAAGATCAGACAACATCGAGGGTCTAACAGGAATCACAGCGCAGCAAACGAGGGACGATGCAACCCCAGCAACTAGAAGTAGACATGCTTGGATCTACTGCGATATCTGGAAAGGGGACGCTTGAAACAGAGATGAGTGAGGTACCAGCGATGTGCATATATTGTTTTGGTTCCTTCTGCAAAATTCCTTCGAGACTCTTCAGGGCGCCCCTGACGTGGATGCCTTGGTGCGTGATGGCCTAGCAGCTCGGTTGCCAGACGTTCATCAACTGCCCGTGCACTATAGATGTGTCTAGTTCTTGTGCGGCTCGGACGTGCACTGATGGATCTTACTTACGTCCTTACTAACGGGTTGTGTATAAGCGTGCGAACGCGAATTGTTCTCAGTCTTCTTGCCCGTCAAGCAAGCAATCAATAAGTCAATCAGTCAGCCAATCGGTCTGTCAGTCAATCAGTCGACCAGTTGATCAGGCAGTTAGTTGTTGTTTTCAAGCACTACCATCGCTATTTAGTGCTGGTTGTGTCGACGGCCCAAAGCGTCAGCTTGCAGCGATGCTCCAACATCTTGCATGGGTTATTTTAGGGTTTAGGGTAGTTTAGGGTCTGGGTGGTTCTCCAGCGGCATGCACAATGCCATCACGCGCTTTAACCGGATGAGCAACATACAAGCTCCGTACTATTTACAAGCAGGATGAAGAACATGACGAAAGGTTGTCAACGCACATTTCTGCCGTGGTTCGTTCAAAAAAGGCGTTATAAGAAGTACAAGCAGGTGGTGCAGTGTGCCTCTCCTCACTTTCGTACTTTTTGCATCCGCCCGAAAGTTTGAGATGCAGGCACTGTCATGTATGCCATATGTCAGCTTCGACAGCGCCAGAAGAATCAGATCACAATGCTCCGGTCCTCTTCTTGCCTTAGCCGTTGCGAGCAATGGTCTCCAGACTTCGACGAGTGAATCAAGGATACATACTTTGTGGCGGACTCTGCTTGGGGTACATAACAGGGCGCCGGGACGGGTACAACGTCGGAGAATTAAATGGCTACACAAGAGGCGTGAGCTTCGGATACGCTCAGGGGAAGGCAGATGCCGAGAAAGCCGCGGAAGAGATGCAAGCCGCCCAGAAACACAAAGCCGAAGAAGATGAACTAGCGAAAGCACGGAAAGCTCTAATCTGGAAAGTCGTGGCGGGAGGCCTCCTGGCTCTGCCCACTGGCGGCCTCAGTTTGATCCCTGCAGCAGCTTCCACTTTGATGACCTTTCATAGGTACGACGGTCAGAAGCTTTACAACGCAAAAGCTGAGACAGAGAATCCGGAACCAGTTCTCGAAGCCTCTGTGGATGTCATATGCGGTTGGTTTGACAACCTCTTTTTGACTGCTTGCAACTGTTTGTGTCATTGGCGTCAGTAGCACAAGAGGGGCGAAGAACCACGGTGGCTCTGGCGGGCCCAAGATTTGGATGTAAAGCACCTGGTTTATTACCATCGCTGTACGTGCCACACGGGAGCCACGGAAAACCGTGAATGCTGAACACTGTGAGTTTGATGCTACTTCACGTCGACTGTCTGTTTTTCAGACCAGCTTGACGGCAGGAAACCTCGAGCCTAAACCTCAGCCATGAACCCCTGCATACCCGGAAAAGCAAGGTCTAGAGTTGCGGGTTTAGTTTCTGGAGATTCCGGAGCTCGAACACTGAATTGAACAACATGGAGTTGGTCGAACTTCTTGTCCCTTTCCGGATGTTGAACTCTTAAAATTATGCAGGGCTTTTGGACAATTCCGGGTCTGGCCCTCCTTCGTACCTTCCTGGTTCTAGCAATATCCCGGAATCGTCCTTGAAACGTGCCTTGAAAGGCGTTCACAGATGCAGGGGCAAACCTGTCAGCTCCACTTGAAATCACGATTTAGGCATGCAGGCCCTGAGCCGTAGAAACAAAAGGTTTCGTTGTTATGGTTTAGGGTTTAGGGTTTAGACTTTCAACTCGGAGCCCCCCCCCAAAAAATTAGGAAAAGGCCGATTCAAAAGCTAAGGCTTCATGGTTATATTGCTACCCACTTGCCCATCAGCTACGCTTTTTCTTGGCTTTGTCCTCTCATTTAGTTCTATGTTCTTTTGCCACCTTTAGCATTTCCTAAGCCCATTTCCCCGATAATTCACGCCGATTTTTTTCATTTTTTTGTCCCCAACTTTTTACCATCCCCTCATTCGTTTTCTCTCACATCGCACCTCATCCATTATCGAAGGCCGATTCTGAGGACAAGCTACCTAATTCATTCCTTAAATCCTACAAATAACAACGTTCCCAAATTTCAACATCTCCACCTTATGCGTTCCTATATTCTTGAAGTCCTTCCTATATCGTTGTTTTAATGTTTGTTCTTGTTATGATTTATAGCAAGAAAAAACCTATTTTACTACCCATTCTGTCCCCTCATTCGTTCCAATCTTTTAACAACTTTTTAAGCTTCTGGCGCTTCCCGTGTTATAGTTAGTCCTTTTAGCGTAGGTTTTTAAACATCATTACCCCATGCACTGTCATGTTTTTTCAGTGCTTCAGTTATGTTAAAATCAATCTCGTCTAACCGTTCTGAACTACACATATACCTATTTCCGTGCTTTTGAATGTGCAAAATTTTACCGTAGTTGTTCAATAACCGTTGCCTACAGCTTTTCGGATTGCCTTCAGCGTTATAATCATCATCCTCATAGACTTGTTCTTGAAATTTCTCCATGGCTTGTTTAATCGGTATCCAGTGCTCGGTTTTGATTTTTCTCAATCCTTCACAATGAACCAATGACAACAAATTCAACTTGTTAGCCTCTCTTCTATATGGGTTGGTAATCGTTTGTAATTCGTCTATCTTGTCAACTGTTCGACTTTTCTCCTTACATGCAACACATTGATAGGTATAGGAAAAGATTTGACTCGAAATTACATCGGGTAACTTAAGCTCATCAATGACACAATAGTTTTTGTGTTCTTTGTAATCCTTGCATTTACTACAGCATTGTTTTTCATTAGTCACTTCTACTTTGTAGTCCTTCAGGTTAATGATGTCCAAAAACTCATTGATAATCTCTTCCTGTTCAACATCAGTAAATCTCAATGTCATGACTCTCTTAATTTACTAAGGCGTTTTGTCTTTAAGTCTTTTTGTTCAATGATTTTTCTTTGTCTTGGTTCTGCTATTTCTTTCTCGGTTGTTTATCGGGTGTGCTTGAACGACTTCGGCTTGCTCCTCTTTGTAATAACCTCATTGCGTCATTGCTTCCGCTTGCTCTTTCTTCTGGGCTTGCGCTTCTGCTTCTTGACGCCCCTCTTCTCATTAATCCTTGTGTTCGTGTAAATACCCCTTCATCAATAGGTGGCTCGGGTTCTTCATCGTCTTCATCTCCTTCATTTAGCCAATTATACGTATCAATACCCGTTTTTATTGTTTGCCCTAATGCTCTGCCTGTATGATATAAAGCTTTACCTCCCATTTTTGCCACGGTTGCCACATCATCTAATAACTGTCTTTCTGGTGAAGGTTTATCATCGTCGCTTTCCTCATCATCATCGTCTTGTTTTTCAGACGGTGGAACAGAACTATAAGGCGTTCCATTTTGTCTTAACATATATCTGAATGTTTGTGTCATTTTGTTTCTTCTGTTTTTCATTAAATTCTCATAATCTTTAACTTGACTATCATATAACCATTCAACGCCTTCAATTTTGGGAAAATCTGCTTGTATCTTTTTATTAGCTGTATCATCAACGTCATAACCCTCAGTATTTAAATAGTTATTATACATTCCTAAAATAAACAGTTCATCATCTTCATCATCAGTTCTTCTTCTCCTTCTTTTTGGTAGTTTATCCTTTACTAAATTTAATCTCCTATTCATATTACTATATTAGAAAATTATACCCCGAAAGCTTTTTTAACTAATGCTTCTCCACCTTTTGCCGCTACTGCTTTCGCAAATGCTTTTCCTCCTTCTAAAGCTACTTCTCCCACGCTTGACGATAAACTTTGACCTTTACTTTTGCTTTTGTTTCTGAATGCCCATTCACGCCTTCGTTTTTCATACATTTCATCAGATACTGGGTCAGTCCATGAACCTTGAGTCATTTCATCCCGAATTAAACTAAGTAAATATTGTTTGTAATTTTCAACTGTCATTACTTTATTTTTTTCATTGAATTCAATATTTCTCAAGAAAAGTTGATATTTTAGATAATCAACTGTTTGACCATCCCAAAAATCCATATTACCCGAATAATTAATTTCTTCTCTATGTGGTGGTGCTGGTAAAGATGGAGGCGATTGCGGTTGTCTTGCGAATACTTCCTGCCCCTGACTATCAACAAATTCTTCATCGGATGATATTGTATGAACTTCGGCTTTTGGACTCAAAAACGAACTCATTAATGTTTGTGCTCTTTCTTGTAATCTTTGCCCGAAGCTCTGACTGGTTTGTTCTTGTCTTCTTAGTTCTGCTTGTTCTCTCATTGACGTTTCGGCATCCATTCCCGACCCTTGGGCTCTTGCTGTATTAAGTGCTGTTCCGAAATCATCGTTTACGCTTGTGCTACTGCTTCCGGTTTCACCTCCTCTATGTCGTTCCAAATGATAAGTTTGCCCGTTTGTTTGACTCTGTCTTCTTAAAATGGTGTCTCTCATTTGTCTGTCTAATATTCTGTTTTGTTGTTCTTTAAGTAATTCCATAGCATCAGAACCATCAAAGAAACTACCCTGCGGACTGTTTCTAAATCTCGTTGCCTCACGGTTTGGTAGTGGTTGTAACGCTTTTTGGTCATCACTTATTAAACCTACAATCTCCTCAAATGTTGGACGACGTTTTAACCCAAAACGCTGGTAAGGATTATTAAGTTCAAATCTTGCTGTTCGTGATACTGTTGTCATTTAATAATATTATTAATTTAGATTATAATATTATTAAACAAACTTAAGTTTTTTTAATTCTTCAATTCGTTTTTCCATGTGCTCTTTTGTTGCATGTGGTAAATTCGGCCTATGCAACTCATTCATTAACCTGTCCATTTCTAACTGATAATTTGCTCTCTTATTGCTTGCTAACAATTCATTACGTCGCAATATGCTCCCTTCTTGTGTTTCTCTTAATTTCATATGATGTTTGAGATGTTCTAAATATCTGGTATCGGTCAACTCAAAGGGACTATACTGTTTTGTTGAAGTGCTCAACTTAAACCCTTTAACATCGTCAGGATGCTGTTTTTTAACATATTTACGTGAAAATCTTTTACTAAACATTATATTAATATATAGATAATTTTTTATCTTTTCTTTTTGCGAAGGTCTCCCGAAAACATATTAGCACATAAGCTATTAACCTTTTCCCTTTTCTTGTTTAAATATTCTTGATGTAAAATATTATAATTATCCATTATTTGTTCATAAGGCGTTTTCATTATTACAGGTTGTTGAGGTTCTTTTATTATCCTTGGTTTAACTTCATTAACAAACGTTGGCGTTTCATGTATAACTTCATTTTGTGTTGTTTGAATTGGAACGGCTTTAACTTTTGATTTTGCTTTCGGTTTAGGTTTAATTGGTTTGTCTTCGAGGTTACTACATTTGTGACTATATCTTAACGTCTTCAACGTTAAATTTGCTCCGCAATCTTTACAATTTACCCTTTTGTTTTTTAGTATATCCGTTTTATTTTTAAACTGTGGCTCTTCATTTGCGTTCTCTTCTTGTTTGACTTCGTTTTTAATGCTCTCTTGCGTTGTTGCTTCATTAATCTCTGGTGTTACTTCTTGCGTTGCTTCTTCAATAATATTTTTGTTGGTGTCTTCTTCAATAACTGTCTCGGGTGTTTCAGACATATATAATTATTCTATATTATTTCTATAATTATTATAAATAGAAATAAATTAGATAAGGTTAAAGCCTTTTTGCTTGCTCATTGAGTTTATAAATTTACGAAGAGGAGCGTAAAACTCACGGGTGCGTTGTGCAAGTTGACCGTTTTACCGCGTGCGTCAGTAATTCTAAATCTCATTCGTTTTAGTGACCTGTTTGAAACATCAATCCAGTCATTAACTAACGGTGCATTTGTGCTCACAGTAACACCGCCTACATTAAACATCATATTAACTTTCTTTATTATACTATTACTATACCCATCAGGTGCAGAATAATGAAAATCGCTTAACTCAGTGCATACGATAAATAATGAATTAAACGGGTTTAAGTTCATCAATCCGCTCGTCCAAGTTGTAGAGGTTGGTTTCTGTTCTTCATAATTACCCACAATACTATTAACACTCATAGGGTCAAAAATATTATTACCTTGCCATATGGCTAATTCTTGTA